TGTGATTCTTGGCCAAACTTTTCTTTCTAAGAATATACATTATGGATAATGGTGGAGAGATGCTGCCTATACATATTGGCCAATGACGTGAAGTTAATTGGGACGGACATAAATTTTTCGTCGTCATCTTTATTTACTTATTTTGTGCTTTTATAAGATTCCACATTAAAAGTGGGTAAAAAACTTAAATAGATTTATATTAAAACTTCTATACATTATACACGATAAATTAATAATCATTATAAATTAATAATTTTTTCAGCCTCAAATTGAACAAGTGTAATGTTAAATATATTTCAATAAAACAATTAATTAATAATTTTTTTAAAAAATCTTTAGTAAATATATAATCCCAATAGCACAATAAATTAAAAATTATATAAAATTATGAATATATAGTATAATTGATACTCTCTAGTGAATTAAATATCTACAATCTTATTGCAAATTAAGTACTATTTTAAAAATAAACCCATACTATTTTTAGATGTGAAGTACTACCGTCTTAATTTTTTTGTTGATATGTTTTCCCACGAAAGATGACTAATATTCGGAACACAAATTAAACATAAGCTCAAAAATGCAAATCATACAAATGTAAGCACAATCTAAAACCAAACGATTAAAAAGCCAAACACACACACACACAAAAAAAGTTCAAATAAGAAGGGAGTTATTAGTTATATATAAACCCTAGCTTGTAGAGCTTACAACAGTTTTGCAATTTATTGAAATAAATTCACCCAGCAAAGAAAAAAAAACAAGAAGGCACTATATATACTGGCTCGAATCATCTTCCATTTTTGAGGTAATAAGAAGGATCAAAACTAATCAACTTCTTCCTAGAAAAATCATGGTACGCTTCTTCTATGAGTTCATCGTCGTCCCATACATCACGGTACGTTTCCGGATGGGTGAGAAGTCTCACGTATCCGCCATCAACTTCTTGACCTCTCCAACGTTCAACAAGTTCACAACCACATTCTTTTGCGACCCAATTAAGGTATTCACTCTGTGAAAGAGATTAAGTTTTCTTAAAAAAAAGGTATTAGCATTACAATGTTCTTTCTTGACTCAAGAATATGCCTTTGATTATTTGTTTACTTAATATTAAGTTCTTAAAACTTTTTTGCATATGTAAACAAAATTTTAGAAATTGATGTTTGAAACTTACCTGAATTCTGCCTATTGTATGCGTATGTCTCTTGGGAACACCTAACGCATCAAGAGAAGCATACCACGCATTAATATCTTCCATCATCTTGTCTGGTGAAGGAAGTGTAACACGTCCTGACAAGACTGCTGCCACCCATTTGCTTTGGATTTCAAACATAACAAACACTATGCCCTGAATTAAAGAGATAAACAAATCAAAGATCAAAACTAAGTGAGGCGCGAATTCGAATTTTATTGAGACTAACCATTGCTGGTAGACCAACAAAACAAAGTCCAGGGGCAAGCGCGGGTGGAAATACGTGCTTGTATAGATGTTCAACGCGTTTCTCATCAATGTGCAAATAGCCATTGGTTTCAAGAAATGGGAAGCTATACTTGTACCTACACACATCTCGCAAAAACATACCTTAAATTAATGGCACATTTCACATCTAAAATCTTTTTGAGCTTAAAAAATATTGACAATAACAAATATACCCGGTGCAATACACAATGCTATCAGCAAATACCTCCTTCCCGTTTTTGAAAACAATTTTCCCATCCTCATGGACGGTGTCGATCTACGATATATCGATATATCAAAGGAGAAAATCAAATATTTTAAATTTTTGTAACTTGGTTTAAATAAAATTTCATGAACGTTCATAGATTGTTTTACTTCGGAATGCATCCATAGATTGTTTTGGGGAACGGAAACTTTCTCGTATGTGTGGGGTTCCTTTGCTCTAGACGCTATGTGTACTTCTTTCGCAACCTTAGCTATGTCCCTACTAATATCAGCACCGCTCGCAAAATTTCCTATCACCACCACCACCTGCCATAATGCAGATTGTAAATAAATGTATGATATAGAATTAGCCCAAACATTTCAAATATTGACAAGTGCTTGTATGTAATACGAGTATAGATATAAGTAAAACAACCAATAAAAACTGTTAAGGATACCTCGTTTTCGAATGGATCAGGAACTCTATAATTGTGGCTATGGATCTGCTTTCCTGGCCACGATTTTATACCTAAAAAGTAAATATTTTTGTTATAGAGTTTCCTTTAGAAATAACATGCAATCTTTAAAACTCATGAGTATGTAAAAGCATATTTCTGATATTTTTAGGTAGTTTTGGATTGAAGTCTTTAAGTAATTTATCAAGATCAGGCAAGTATCTGGAAAATTGTAATCCAAAAGCTAGCATGGCTAATGATTCAAATCACAGACTCGGTGACCACAACATGTTACATGGTTATAAAATAAAAGAGTGAGATAACAAAGTTACCCACACTAGATAAGTATTTTACTCATTTTTTCTATAATTGCAAAGTTAAGTATATAGAAATTGATATGATCTTTACCAGGAATATGAGGAAGGTTTGGTTCTGTATAGTGACCAGTGCAAACCACAACAGCGTCAAAGATCTCATCCTCGAAGACACCTTCGGGGTTCTTGGACCGGACCCTCCATTTCCCATCAACGGGTTCAACCCGAACCACTTCGGTCTCGAACCGGATCATCTCCTCTATTTTAAACACTCTGGCAAATTCTTGAACATACGCAAGAACCTCCATGTGATTTGGATACCGTCTCGGGTCTCTTGACTCGTCATCGAAACGTGGCAAAAACGGGAAGTCCCTGACACCCATGCTTTCTCTCGGGACATTGGTACGGAGAGAGTCGTAGATGCTCGAGTGCACTCTAGATCTGGTCGGGTCTACACTAAGTGGGTCGGATTCGGATTTGGGTGTGTAAACCCAAAGACCACCCACTTGTTTCTCTTGTTCGAACACAACTACACTGTGACCTTCACGACGTAGCTCCCTAGACGTTATGAGACCTGCTGGTCCGGCCCCGATGACTGCCACGTGTTTCGTACTGATTGTGTTTTGAGCTGGTGCCATGTTTTTCAATAATTGTAGTGTCTACTCCGGGTTAATAACTTAGTATGCACTAAGAAACATCAGTGTCGGACCACATATAAATATTCTAAGGGACAGCTGTTACACTAGTCATGGAACTTTATTACTGTGTTACATACTATGTTAAATAGATTGGGAAAAATGAGAAAAACACGTGATTCGTAAGGTAGGAATTTTGGTGGCGATGCGACAGCAAGTAATTGTGTACAATTACTGTTTGTGTCGTAAACAAAGAAAAAAGGAAAATTCCTCAAGGGAAAAAGGTGATGTTTTATCGATATCGTCCATCTTTGTGCAGATTTATAAGATTAGAACCGATCATTTCACATCATAGAGAATAAAAACTGTGACGTAATATATATTTGGTGTTAAATAACTTTGATTACTTTGGGAAAAAAAAAAAAAAAAAAAAAAATAACTTTGATTACTTTTAGTCTGTTGCTAATTAAAACATTTTGTAGTAAAGTTGCAACCCAAATAAATGAGAAAACGGAGCCATCTTGCTTTGTTTTCACGGTCTTTAATTTACATTACGTCATGCGCATATAGTTTACGTTACAACGCCGGAAATATATGATTCTTTTGACATTATATAATGTTTTAGCAACAATTTTAATATCGGTAACTAGAAAAGATGAAAATATCATCAATGTGTACATAAATCTACGACAACGATAAATACTTTGTTTTCACATATCGTGTTGGGCTACCAAAAAAAAAAATGAAAACATACAGAATTTGCAATATTAGAAAACTATTGCTAATGTAACCACCTCTGAAGATGTTTGACCATGGTCAGTTCCATACTTCCATAAAGAGTTGGAAATTATAATCTCAACATAATCGAGACTTTCTCTATCTTAATCTCAAATGTTTGTTTTCAAACGTGTTCTAAGTTCTTTAATCCCTTCTTTTAAACTTTGCAGATTACACTGTATGAGTATGACTTATGAGTCATAGTTTTTTAATCCTGTCATCTTACTTTTAACCCAAAAAAAAAAAGAAGAAAAAAAAAAAGAGGAGAGCTCAATTATTAGTTGATGTTTCCGCGTATGGACCGTCATGATTTTTTTTTTTTATCATTGAAATAAGCTTTATTACATTAACACATATGGTGCTTAGGACACTCAAGAAGCGATGTAATTAAATTAAATTCAATCAAATTATCTTCAACTATACACAAATATAATACGATGCTAGCTACATGGTGAAAAAAATAGTTTACTATTTAGATCGGGCAAGTCTAATTATTTTAGTCCCTGGAACTCAAACTTCCTTCACCTGTTTTGCTACCCTACTCTCATCATCAATCAACACAAGAATCAATGTGTCGTTGCCACAAACAAACGTGACCCAACTACCTGACAATATATTAACGATCCATCAATAAAAGGGCATGGTTCTGTAATATTTACACATATAGCCTAGGGATCCTCAAATTCGTGTACATGAACTTGTATAATTAAAGCTGTTATACAGAATTAGACTTTGTTCTGGTTGTGAAATTCGTTTTTTGTTGCAATAAAGTGTTTACCATTACATACACAAAAAAATATACTCAAATTTATGTACATGTTGCAATAAACTAAAAGTATGACAACAAAGAAAATACTTTAGCAAATATAAATTATGTTAGACATGATAAATTAATTCAGTTATAACTATTTTCTAAAGTTCAAATTAATATTTATTGACAAATTCAAAGATTTCTAATAAAAAGGTACTACAGACTGATAAGTTCTTCAATCTACTTTTTACCAAATAATAGCGGTGCGTGTTGTATATATCATGTTGAGATATAAATGCAAATTTTACATGGAAAATATTGCAATGATGAATGACATTATTTTCATCATTATTATATTTTTACTATGTAGATGAAATTGCTTAGGTTTTTACAAGAATTTATAAATTAAGCAAAAGGAAAAAACTCTTGAAATTCATTCCATCCACAAGAGCTGTGAAGACAAACGAACCAAAGAAGTCAAAATAAAAAATCGAATACAAACGCAAAGAATATTACCAATCAGGCATTCAGGCCATCATGCCTTAGTTTGCAATACAATTAAGCAATTACCCATGAATAAGAAGAGAAGCCATCCTTACGTCACCATGCTTCTTAAAATCAAACCCTCCCACACAAAAAAATCATGTTCTTGATTCGAGGAAATAGGAAGGATTGAAACTAATTAACTTCTTATTAGCAAAATCATTGTAGGCTTCTTCCATAAGATCATCATCGTCCCATTCATCGCGATAAGTTTCTGGATGTGAGACAAGTCTCTGGTAGCCACGGACGACTTCTTGATTTCTCCAATGTTCAACGTGCGGACAACCACATTCTTCCGCGATCCAATTAAGGTACTCACACTTTGAGACGAAATGAGTTAGAACCTTTAAGCAATCAATTAAATTTTATTTTGTTACATGTAATCATATAAAATTTGGACATGTAGTCATATTTGTAATATAATGGACTCACCTGAATTTTACCCAATTTATGTGTATATCTCTTGGGAAGACTTAACGCGTCAAGCGTCTCATAAGACGAAATAATATCTTCCATCATCTTATCTTGTGAGGGAAGTGTAAACCGTCCTGACAAGACTGATGCCACCCATTTGCTTTGGATTTCAAACATAACAAATTGTATGCCCTGGTAGAAACATATAAAATATCAAAACCAAGTGATCATACGTGAACTCGAAACTCCAATATAGGAATTGTGCTTGAGACTAACCATCCCTGGTAATCCAACGAAAGAAAGACCCGGAGCAAGTGCGGGTGGAAAGACATGCTTGTATAGATGTTCAATGCGGTTTTCATCAATGCTCATATAGCCGTTGGTGTCAAGAAATGGAAAGTAATATTTGTACCTACACATATGGTACATAAATCCCACATTTCACATATAAATCTTGCTATGTATGAGCAAGCAAATATCGAAATCAACGAATATACCCGGTGCAATAGACAATGCTATCAGCATATACCACCTTCCCGTTTTTGAAAACAATTGACCCATCCTCATGAGCCGTGTCTATCTACAATATATCAAATCAAATATTTCCATTCAATCTTTGGCTTTAAGATGAAATATTATGAATGTTAATATCAAAATCATGTTTACATAAAACCAAACAGACTGTTTTACCTCTGAATGAACCCATAGATTACTGTGAGGCATGGGAGGCTTTTCGTATGTATCATGTTCTCTCGCTCTAGACGCAATGTGAACTTCTTTTGCGACTTTAGCTATGTCCCTACTAATATCCGCACCGCTCGCAAAATTTCCGATCACTACGACCACCTACCAAAGTATCAACACAAAGATGGAGATCATACTTATTTGTGATACATAATTAATTAGCTCGAAAAATTAGAATATTTTTTTTGTTTGATGGACGATTATGTAGCATACTTGTTTACATTTTTGTGTATATAATAGCCTAATAGGTGTGAGTTAAAAAAAATTATATTATACACCAAATTAAGAAAATAATATAATGATAATAAAATTTTACAAAAAGTATAGAAATAAACCCAAAACCTTTAAATATAAACCTTAAAAATTAATTTAAAATCCCCAAATGCAAATTATAACTCTATAACCTCTTTTTTGGGTTCTATAGTTTGCTCATATTGCAAATTATATAGGTGTATATATATTCATGGGTAAGGCTTACCTAATAAAACAGGAAAAACAAACTACTACCTAAATCAAATGATGAAACAAGAAACGTTGCTCTCATATACATTGGTGGTCATTGGCTCATTGCTCAAGTCGTCCTCTTTTTGCAACACGTTTCTTAGCTAATCGTTTTATATATTCTTATTAAACTAGTATCAGACAGAGACTTTTATTTTCTCCAAACAAATAGGACCACACACACACACACACACACACAAAACTAATATAAAATAAATGGGAAGAAAAACAAATAATGATTAGATAAATTTGTCACCTCGTTTTCGAATGGATCAGGGACTCTGTAGTTGTGGCTATGTATCTGCTTTCCTGGCCACAATTTTATTCCTACATACATAATTCTGATAACTTCAGATAATGTTGGATCAAAGTCTTAAATAATTAATAGATCTCGAAAATTGTAATCCAAAATCTAGCAGTTACAAATGATTCACATCACTATCTGTGTGACCTCAAACGTTACATGGTTATAGAATAAGAAAAATGTGAGAAGACGTACAAAGTTTTTTTAAATTTTAATTAAAGTCTTTTAGAAAGTGATCTTTACCAGGGATATGAGCGATGTATGGTTCTGTATAATGTCCATTGCAAACCACAACTGCGTCAAAGATCTCATCGTTTGAACAGTCACCGGAGGTTTTAGACCGGACCTTCCACTTCTCGTTAACCGGTTCAACCCGAACCACTTCTGTCTCGAACCGGACCATCTCCTCTAGGTTAAATGCCCTAGCAAAGTCTTGAAGGTACGCAAGAACTTCCATGTGGCTCGGGTACCGTCTCGAGTCTCTTGACTCGTCTTCTAAACGTGGAACAAAAGGGAAGTCAGTGAAACCCATACATTCTCGTGGGAGGTTGGTTCGGAGAGACTCGTAAACGCTCGAGTGGACTACGGATCGCGTCGGGTCGAGGCTAAGCGGGTCGGATTCGGGTTTGGGTGAATAGATCCAAAGACCTCCCACTTGTTTCTCTCGCTCAAAGACAACGACCGTGTGACCTTCACGACGGAGCTCCCTAGCCGTTACGAGACCGGCTGCTCCGGCTCCGATGACTGCTACGTGTTGAGAAATGATTGGGTTTTGAGCTGGTGCCATATTTGTCAACAATGGTATGGTTGATTTGACTATGGTAAGATTTCTATGTTTTGGCAAATGTCGTTTGGTTACTATATATCAAGTATTAATGGGTTTATATAGTAGAGTTGAAACAAGATGGCCTAACATACTTGCATCTTTTTCGTCATAAATTTCTTTATTTTTATTTTGTTTTTGTGAAAATGAACCCCATACTAGTTTTTTTTTCTTTTTCTTTGAATTAAACCCCATACTATTTATGTTATACAACTTCGGGAAATATATATGTTAACTTCATATATTATTATACAATGTTTACATACGTATATTTTTCTCGTTTCCTAATTTATTGGAAACTTAAGTGGTAAACAGAAACGTAAACAAAATAGTAATGCTAGTTGAATCATTTGAAATTCGACCAAAAAAAGTTGAATTATTCGAAAATAGTGGGTTTTTAATGGTATGTAGTTTTTTTCCTTTACATATCTATTTTTGGCTCGTATATATAAAAATTAAAAACCGGAATTGAATATGACTTTTGATCAAACAAAATGGACTTTAATTTATATAATTATTGTGAACATATGTGATGTTTCGAAAATATGAGTGAAAGTCCAGGAATATACTACAACCTAAGATAGTTTTGTAATAACAGAGAAATGTTTGGTAAAAAAGAAACAAAAATATGAAAAAAAAAAAAGAGATTACTATTGCTAATGTAAGAGCTCAATTATTCATATACCAAGTGACAAGTGTCCCCACTGGAATTATAAGGTCTGTAATCTGTTCGAATTTATGTGGAAAGTTATTTTATTATAAATGTCGTAATATTGTTTCAAGTTTTTCATACATTAAAAATAGATTTAAAGATTTGTTTTTCTCTTTTAGTATAGTATATATACTTTCTCTGTTACTTACTAAAGCCAAATTCGGAAAAAAAAAAATCACTAAAACAATGAAATAGTATAAAAATTCTTGTTCTAATGTTTGATTGGAATCATCTCTAAACAGAAGAAACATCAACATTTCTTCTTAATTATATGTTTCTATCGACCACTACCCAAAGTTTTTTCACTAACCACAAAATAAACTATGTTTTCACTAACCTCTCATAATCTATTCGAATGATTGGTTGGTTGAAATCAACCCCTAAGCAGAAGTAAATTTCAACATTTCTTCTTTATTAACGTTTTTTATTCATGGGGATGGCCGGATTGGCCATTTCTTTTGCTAACCACAAAATGGACGAACACGTACCCTCTCTTTCCTCCATAATTTTTTTTTTTTCCTCCAGAAAAATTTGCCTTTCGCCTTTCCTGAAATGTGAAGTCAACTTCTTCAACTAATAGTCCACCAAAAATACAAAAGGCTCTCGGATCGTTAAATTATAATCATTAAAATACAATGCTCTATGTTCAATCGTTCATGCATGTGACCATGTGTGTGTTATGGTGTTTTACATGGTATTGACATAATACTAGTTTACTATCATATTATTTTAGTGGCATGTGGAACTCGTAGACTTATTTAATTGTTTTGATACATTACAAATGTGCCGTTGACGCAGATGAAACGTGGCAATATATCAACAATAAGGATCCATCAATAATATGGTCATATATTTTATAAGGATCGTGCAAAAGTCATGTATTTAACTTCGTCTTCATACATAAAAGGCCTTTCTATATGCTAAAACTAGTATTTCGAAAATATAGTAGTCGAGGATCATGCCCCGACGTGTGTATGTAGATCTTTATGGGCCTTAGATCCTACTTTGCTAAATTAAAAGAAAAGGCCCATATTAGCTAATGAGGTTGATAAAAAAAGAAAGCAATGTTTGTCCTGGGTAAAGCCCATATACTCACCTGACTTGTTACCTTATATTGGTTATCCAAATATATCCTCATTGGTAATAAGTTTTATTTTTTACCATAACCATTTTTGCTGACTCAACCTAAATTTCCAAGATTTAATACAAAGAAATCATACAAAAATTTTATTCTCTGAGTCAAATTACAAAAGGGAATATATTATATAGCCATTGTGAACAAATATAATCATAATTAGAAGAAAAAAATGGAAATAAACTCTAGGAATCTACAACCTCAAAGTGTTAATTTTCCTTTTTCCCTTTTTTTTTTACAAGGATAGAAACGAAATTGAAAATATCTACTATAAAATATTTGCTAAATGTCCCCACTAACACAAATTAATAACCACTAATCCTCTTTCTCTCTCTCTCTAGAAAAAAAATCAAGAGAATCACTTCTCGCTCCTCATGGTTAGATTTCTTCTGTAACTCCTGTATGCAGACCTGACACATATGTATGTGTTGATCAGTTGATCATATCTCTTATTAAGACTTTAACCATGATGAAACTCTTGTCTTCCTAAGATTGTTTTTTTTTTGTACTTTGGCATGTCTCAGTCATAGATCTGTTGTTGTTGGTCAACCTAAACCATTGAAAGCTTCAATTTTTTTTTCCGGGTACTTATGATTCCTCTCTTTTCTTTTTCTTTTTTCTGTTAATATCTTTGAATTAGATTCTTTTATTTATCATTGTATAATTGTTCTTGTGTAGGAAATTGTGTTAATTATCATCATTGAAATCTCCGGTAAAATTTAATATTTCATGATTTTAGAATCATTTTTTTTTGTTTATTAGTGTCACGAAACTTTCATGTTTAGAATAAAGTCATTATAAGAAAACTTGTGAATCTCTCTGTGCTTCTCTATGTGAATGATCAAAAATATGAGTTTAGTTTTTTTTTGTCATGAATTTTCTGCAGATTAGGATGGTTTTGCAAAAGATTTTTGGATTAAACTTTAAAAATCTCATCATATTGAATTCTCAAAAAAATGATTTGATGATTTCGATTGCTTATCTAAGATCACCTGATGAAACAAGTCTTCGTCAAATTTGGGATTTGTTTTATAATTCTTGTTTTTGGTTCTGTTCAGCAACATTCATAGTGGTCATGTTAAGAAGTTATGCATCTATAGATTATGTGTATGCAATCTAGTAGCTTAGTGTTTTTGTTTTTCTGTAAATGAAATCATTTGGAATCTGTAAAAAATATTGAATATCTCGGTTTTAAGCTCGCTCTGTTCTGAATTTGTATCGCATCGTTTAGCTTATCTTAGGAAAATGTCACAATTCTTCGATTTAGTTAATATTTTGCGTATGGAGTGTCTCATTATCTATTGTTAACAGTATTTGATAGAGGGACGGGACATGGAGTAAATAAGACAAGAAGCGTTGTAACACGACTTGTCGAAGGACGAAATGTTGTACAAGAAACGTTTTGAAACGTATGAAGAAAGTTCTAAGCATAGTCAAATTAGAATGGTCACTCTATTCGGACAACAGGTAGAGATATTTTAGCGTTACTTCGCTATAAATTCGTAAACATAAATAAAACATAGCAAAAACATATATGTTCATCAGCTTTCATGTCAGGTGTATATCGCAAAAGGCGAAAGCCTTGCCTCGGGAAGCTGCCTTAATTCGATGATGAAAAATTGTGATCCTCAACTTCCTGCAAATCATGAAAGCTTCAAATACCTAGAATTTGACAGCATTCGTTGTTCTCAAGATACCTTAGATCGGAGTTTTCCCTTGAGGACTGAAGCAAATGGCTCAAGATTGTTTGGCAAGAAAAGTGAGAAAGTGAATATATCAGATGGATCATATTTGCTGGATCTTAATGAAACCCCGGCTAATGAGCCGGTTTCCAATGATCATCAATGCTTCTTCCAAGATCTGAACATTCCGTACACCGAGGAGACGGAATTGAGCTGTGAGAAGAGTGGTTTAGATGGTGTCCATGAAAAAGATTGTTCAGCATCTCCAGCTTCATGTTGTGAGAAGAGCGGTTTAGACAGTGTTCATGAAAAAGATTGTTCAGCATCTCCAGCTTCATGTTGCACCGTGGAAAACAACTCAAGAACTGAGCTAGAAGATTCATGTGAGTTAATTGACAATGCAGCTGAATGTTTACTCCAACTTTCAGCGGGTTTGTTCAATCGAAGTCAGGATTTCTCATTGGAGCTTGGATCAACATCTATCAGCTCATCTCAAGATCAAGAATGTCTAAATAAACAAGAGACGGGTGTCCAAGAACCAGCTCGTTCTTGCGATTCATTTGAGCTACACACTTTAAGAATAAAAGAAACCATCCCTGAAGAGATCTGTTATGTATCATCAAAGACCAAAGAAGATGACTTGAGTAACAAGAAAGAGTCTAGAGTCAAGCTGAGAAGAGGGAGGAGAATGAAGAATTTCCAAAAAGAGATACTCCCGGAACTTGTATCACTCTCTAGACATGAGATACAAGAAGATATCAACATCTTAGAGACGGTTTTGAGATCAAGAGAATACAAGAAGATGCAGGGAAAGACTAAAGATGGAAAATGTAGACCAAACCCAAGAAACAACAACAAAGGTTTGACTCAGAGGTATATAGGTAGACGAAGGAGACAAGCCCGATGACGAGATTCCCCGGTGTTTTCAGTTTTATAGACATTGCTCTAGCTTCATTGATTTAGCTCATTCATTGATTTTAGAAGACCAAGTAGAAACTCTTTAGTTATGATCTTCAAATTCTCATTGAACCTATTTGAACAATATTCATTACTTGCCTAGGGGTTGATTCCGTGAATTAGTTGATGGGCCTAATGGACTTGTTAATTATCATTTACTTTAGGCCCATTAAAAATTTCATCACTGTAAAATTCTAATATTCTTCCTCTGCGCATCCAATGCACTTTCATGATTTCATTTTCAATTTTTACTCTTTTTCTCATCTTTATATTTTCACTTTAATTCTTTTAAAAATGATCTTTAATTAGTGGGAATCACTTTGCAGTGATTATTCTTTCTTTTTAAAACTTGAATTACTCAGTTAAAATTTTGAAATTTTATTAACAAAAAAGTTACAAAATTTGAAAACTCTGATTCTAGATTTCACTCTAAAGAAGTAATCGTGTGAGTAACGTAAAGAGATTTTAGTGAATCAAATATTTTACTATAGATGGTATGAAATTGAATGTAAGAATCAAAACCACAACTGTTAAAAATTTAATAACAATTGACTGTATAATAAAATCTATTTATGACATTGTAAAATCCAACGCACCAAAGTATGTATTTTCAGTATTTACTACAGCATTTAATAAGAGAATTTTTTTGCTAGTTGGGAAAGAAAGAAATAAATCTACTAATTAATTACCATTTTTAATTTTTATTGTCAACAAAATTAATTACCATTTATCAACACAATTTTCTACCAATTATACATCGGAAATAAATAACCTTATCCCTAAACATTAGGGGAAAATTGCGTTGATAAATGAAATTACAATGTCAAAAAAGTTAGAAAAATAAAAATAGGTTTTGAAATTTTTACAATCGGTAGATTATGAGAAAACAAGGCAACACCGCACGTGTATCAAACACGAGCAACTCGCCGTCGTCACCACTCACTGAGTCAAACCGTGATCTCACATCCGAGTCATACCTTAACTCCCTTTGCTTCGTGACCCGACCCGCTATGACCCGACAAACCAACATCGCCTTCCTCCCTTTCCCACCGCCAGCTTTCTCATTCGCCGTACTACTTCCGGCGAACGTATAAATCGACGCGCCACCGCCTTTACCACCTAATAAGCCCCACGCGCCGCCACCTCCGCCGTGACTCGGACCCAAACAGTAAAACCTCATCGTCTCGTTCCCGTCTGCAACAGAACGCGCGTTCTCTTCACGCGCTTTCCCGACGCTTCTTGCTTTTACCGCTTCTCGATACTCCTCGAACCGGGTCAGAGTCTTTGACCCGTTTTGAACTTTGAATATCATTTCGACCCGACCCGAAAACGGTTTCGGACCCCAACTCGTCTGGAAAATAATCTCCACCACATTACGTGACTGATGACCCTCCGCGAGCTCCGTCAATGTCGGAAGAAGCGGGTCACGATCACGTGCTCCGGTCGATCGAATCCGGGGCGAAGGTGAGAGAACCGGGTCTGGTTCTCGTTTATCCGGTTTTGGATTGGGTTTCTTCGGTTTTGGTTTGGGTTTCTTGGTTTCGACCACGTCTTTAAGACTCTGTGTGCTTCTTCTGCAACTGTAACTAGACATGAGATGTTTCGGACTCGGGTTCGGATTCGGGTTTGGGTTTTTTATCGGATTGTAAACATCGTCGAAAGCTTTAGACTTGCATTGTAAAGATTTGACCCACCCGCTTGCCATAATCAAGATCCGGGCTCAAAGCTCTTTGTTTTATTTTTTGGTTCTCTCTCTCTCTAGAAGAAGAAGAAGAAACAGAAGCAGAGAAGGAGAAAGCAACATGGCGCGATGATGATGATGATGATGAATATTAAAAGTGTTACGTCGGAACTTGAGAGTTTAGATTACGGTTTTGCCCTTTAGTTTAAAACATTTGTTTACTTTGAACATTGGGTACATGTGTCTTTTTAATATATTGTGTTTTTATTTCCTTTTGTGTTGTTAGTTAGTTGTATCAAAAATGGAAAGAACATAATTATATTTTTATTTTGTAATGATTTTTTTGCAATATATTTTACCAATTTACAATTAATAATATGATTACAACATATTCTACTTTTTGTTCAACATTTGTATTCTAATTATGTGTTTGATTGTTATGTAAGATGATACTATAATATGATTCTTCTTTCATTTCAGTTTTGTCTTCATGATTTTAAGTTTTTTTGGATAGTTTTATAAGAATGGAAATTTTGTGTTTTTGATTTTATGTAAGGTAATGCAGAGAAACAAGACAGAAATAAATTTATGAAAGAAAAATAAAAAATGACAGCGAGGTTGATATTGTTTTTAGTTTAAAGTACAGTCTTGTGAGTGTTGTCTTTTTTTTATCATAAATGGATCACAAAGGAACACGAATAACATTTTTTAAAAATAAAATTTACGCCAAACTTCGTAACTCAATTTGTTTTTATCTCAACAATAGAATTTCACATGTAATGTCTATTCAGAAATGTCAATAATGGTATCTGGATGGATTCTCTTAGTCGATGACAAACTTATTTCGAAAATTTCAACGCTATCTTACAAACTATATTCAATACCAAAAACAAAAATATGTAATCATTTCAACATTAGACTTAGGATACTCAATATGTAATTCATATATTTTATTTGTCTTACATATTTGAATTTCTTATAGTACTTGTCATAATTTAAGCTAGTGAGCTAAAAACAAAACTATTCGTTGATGTATTTCTAATTTTCCACACCATTGAATTTTTGTAATAATCATAATTCATTGTCGTCTTTAAATCAATCATTGGTCAATGGTAGCTTGTTTATTACTTTAAACGTAAGGATGAGCAGATTCGAAGATGGGTTAGAGAAAAAGTGTGAATAATAGTGAAACTGAATATTATTTTCTAACTATCCAAAATGTAATATTTACTCTTAAGGTATGTAAAAGCTAGGTAGTTTATTGTAACTAATACCTAACTTTGTTTCAATGTATTTAATTTGTCCTCTCACGAAACACAAAGTTTGATGCAATCTGACTTAGCTGACGATGTGTTTTCAGTTTTCACAGAACAGTGTGTATAACTTTCATATCAATGAGCTACGAGCATTTGGTAAAGCTATCGATGTAACGTAATTTGTATCTGTCGATATTACTCAAATATATTTGCATGTTTCTGCATTACTGCGAGACATACAGTAGCTGGCTGCTCTCTGGTTCAGGAGCGAACATAAATTTAATTCCTAAATTAACTCAAACAACACTCTAGAGTCAATATAAAATATGATATACTATATAGAATAAGATAATATACTAGTTAGGATATGCGTATCTTAATCACTTTTGTCATGCCAGTATTATAAAAAGTATATAGTAGTGGTCTAATGTGGCTATGGAATCTTTTGGAATTTAGAGATTTACAAGAAACAAATTGGAAGAATAGAAGAATGGAAGCTGCCAACGAAGACGGGCTTATAATAAAACAAATCGCACTGAAAATTTTGAAATTCTAACTTAATGTGAGCACACCCATCTTCTTCTCTGTGTCGTCTTCCTCTCTTACACACTGAAACTTATTAATTCTTTTAATAATATATCTTAATAACTGCCTTGTCTAACTTAAGTAAGCATTTTGAGTAATTAACGATGAATATGTAATTAACATTTGTTTGTTCTAAATAAAATATCTTTGGAAATCATTTTCTTGTCCACCCTACATAGTTTTATCTCGGCGTGAACTGAAAACTAATTAAAATTTCAAAATCTTTAAAAAGTATTTTTTCCATTTAAAAAAAATCTTTTAATTTAAAAAAAAACTTTCCTTGTTTACACTTATAATACAAGTAATTTAGAGAAAAAAAAGTTATCGAGTTTTTGGTTCATTATTTTGAATATATGTGGAGTTTATTAAAGAACGGAAATTATAGTTTAGAGTTTAGACATTTATTAGAAACTCTATAAACGATGAAAAGTTTCAACAATAAGCATTATGCGAATTTGATTATGAGTGGTGACATATCAACGTACTAATACAAAGTATTCAACTACATATTCTAGTCTAGAAATATATATTGTAAAGACTTAATAGGGTTGCTACTAGCTAGCCATTTTTGTTGGGTTATATATGTAAGAGACATATTTTCGATATGAGAATTAAACATTGCTTTACTTTATGTGACAATAATTGTTATTTATGTTTGGTTAAATTCTTTATCAACCATATGTTTCACAGCTAGCTAAGTCTATCGAATATATAAGAATTGATACACACAAGATCCGGCCATATATATACATACATTATACATATTATATATTTGCCTCCCGATCATTAATCCAGAGTTACACCAGCTTAATTTGGTTGGATATATAATAAATCATAAAGATGATCATAAGACATATGCATTAAAAACGGTATTATACTATACTTGAAATTTTATGGTGAAATATATTTTTTAATAGCGAGGAAGCTTTTGGCCTTTTGGGAGAGTGGGTCGTGTAGTAACATGAGGAGGCCACAACGTGGAAATATGTAAATACATAATTAAAGCAATTCTAGTATTCTAGTAAACAATTACGAAAAAAGACACAAAACAATAGAATAATACATTCTCCCATTCCGCACGTAATCATAAATGGTTTGAATTCATGTCCATACACTATATAACACACCATTCTTGATTCAAGGTATATTAATAACATCTCTCGATATCCCTAAACTTTCAAAATATATTCAAAACAACTCTCACTAAATATTTCGAAAGAGTAGACCCATTTTACCAAAATTTAAAATTTAATTCTAAATTTTCCAAGAAAATAATAATCAAGAATCAAATATAGAAATGATACCAATAAACCGTATATATAATATAGTCATGACGTATTGTAAACTAATTGTACAAAATCAATAAATTTTGGTAGAAATTACATTTGGCTATAAGTACACTAAACCAAATCATACATATACGTGGATTGGGTTAATAGTTTCCAAAGTTTATGGACGTTGCGTAGTTGCTTGGAAAAGTTTAGTGACTAGTTTGTGCAAGCTAAGTTATCCTAGGGGGTTAGTATGCCAATATCACTATCATATTCAAATTGCATGAATAGTAGTAGTATATTATAAAGTGTGTAATGATTATAAGATCCAAAAATATGGATGGGGTTTGGAATTGAAATAAAAAGGAGAGCCAAGGAGAAAGTTTGGTTGGGAAGAAATTAACTAGGGTTTTGTGAAAGATGTAAGTTTTGTAATTGTAATGTTTTTTTTTTACGACAGCCTTTTAACTTCACGCTTTGCCCTAAGAATCTTCTTGGTCTCCTCCGGGAACGGTGTTCAAATTTTTAACCCACCTTTTTGTTTTTTAATCCTTAATAACCAGTTTGTGTATATATAATGTGAATGTGATATATAGTAGTTACGTACTAGTTAGGAGTGGCACAAGTTTAATATCTCGAAAAAGAATAATAGCATATTTGTATTTGATATGTTCAAAATTTTAACCCTCCTTTTGGTTTTTAAATCCTCAATATTCAGTTTATGTATATAACCACGAAAGAGCCAGATCATCTTACCCTAAATTAAACTGTGATAGTAGTTACTAGTAAGGAGTATGCCACAAGACTAATATATATCTTGAAAAAGAATTACATTAATAGGATTTTTGTATATGGTATGTATTAAATGTGTATTTACTTGTCAATATTTGCTGGTATATATATACAGTTTTAATTACATTTGAAAAGTAAATTTTCAAAATCTATCAACCGACCGGCCAGTTTTAAAACACTTGATGCAAATCCCATACGAGTATAAAGGACTTTTAATGTACCATCTACATTTTTCCCCCATTTTTCAAGAAATTTAAAGAACCTTACGCTGACAAGAACGTACGCTGTTTACGCACAGGTTGACCAAAGAAAAAGAATGGTAATATTTATTGATAATTTACAAATCTCAATAATTCACCTCTTAAACAGTTAGTATAATCTCACATCTATCTCTTTCTCATTAATCAGAAGTACAATATAAACCATTATTAGCATCGCACTCTTTTACATTCATTGTTACATTTAAGGATGTCTTCGTGTCAAATGTATTAATGATGATAAAAGTTAGATTAATAAATGCAACATAAAGGGTTTAAAAAGACACTTTACCTGTGAGGTATCAAGTCCCATGGGCCTCTCAACATTTGTTATATTGGACCAGTTTTATGGACGAAGGCCCAACAATATATGTTAGATACACAATCATCTTATTTGCCATGAGCATGACCATCCATGTGAGTGTCCGTATGGGAACAAATATTTTGGTATACTAAGAAACGTAATAATAATAAGACGTTTGACATATAAAAAGCCAAAAAAATTGCAAGTTTGTCCCATACGAAGATTAAAAGAAGCAACCACTAGAACTTACTTGTATGTTGTATCATATACAAACCAAAAAATAGTAGACGGGAGAAGATGCTTTCATACCTTTTGAAGATTTTAGAAACCATAAAGTTTTATAATTTCTTATAGAGATTATCCAAATATATGGCTCTTTATCAATAAAGTATAATGTATAATCGTAAGTATCCATCAACTATTTATATATAACTAACCTGTTAACAGACTACCACATAACGTTATAGAATTGGTGTTAAAATTACATCCACAAAAACTATGTGTATAGAAGAAATCATATATGTAGTAGCTAGAGGAAACATGTTATATAGAATATAAATTAAAATGACTACCACATAAAATATTTGTGTACAGTAATCATAAAATGTGTGTTGATATACACACAAGCATAATCTGTAGAATGGATAATCTTTGTTATCATCAAATGTGACACGTGTCGAAATCGTAAAGTAAGACATTTTGGTAATCTATGTGAAGTATGCCTCATATGTGCATTTTGTCATCATCATCTTATCTTGTTTGTTTTCTCACTTGTTTCGTGATGGGCAGAGAGAACCAGAAGTTCACATTATTACATATTCAGAGGAAAATGTTAATTTGTTGGTAAACATATTATAAGTATGGGAGATTGAACATCACGGTTAGAAATTTTTGTTTCTTTGTTAACATACTCCAATGTTTTAACCAAAGCATAAAACAAAATTTTGAAAATTTTCTCACATGTACTTTCTCGAAAACTTTCACATATTTTTAGATAATTTCAAAACACAGAAGTTGCTTAAAAAGAATACAGATGAAGTATATCTATATGTCAGAACGTCTCCTTTTCGGCGTTATGCCTAGGTTGTAGAGCAATTAGATTGAAACTTTGTCATACATAGATTAAAATAGTGCGACTTTGTTTGAAGAAAAAATTACTACCTAAGGGATAAGTTCAAGAAGAGTTTCATCATAATCTGGGGAGCCTAACAAAACTCCAAAGATTCACCTTCAAGAATCCATACGTTGATTGCCAGATCAATATGCTCTAAGGGCCACACATGGTGTCAATCTTTGGCCTTTTCCTTAAATTTTCAATTTAATTGTCAAGAATATAATGAGAAGTCAGTATTATAAACAAAAATATAACTTCACTGATATTTTTCTTTAAGAAAATCATATATATGAGGTAATGAACCATCTCTGCATGTCCTTCAAACTACTATAAAAGCCACCTTGAACCCTTCATTTAATCTCCTCATCCCAATTCACACCCACCGAAGTATACCGTATATTCAGAAGAGGAATATAACAATGGCTTCAAGAGCCACAAAATCTTTAGCCCTTTTCTTGATTCTCAACTTCCTCTTCTTCACAACAATCTCTGCCTGCGGTAAGTGCGGTTGCCCTTCTCCCAAGCCAAAACCTAACCCTAAACCGAAGCCAACCCCAAAACCTAGCCCTAGCCCGGCCACAGCCAAATGCCCTAAAGACGCTCTTAAGCTAGGAGTTTGCGCCAACGTGCTCAACGGCCTACTCAATATCACCCTTGGGAAGCCACCGGTCGAGCCATGTTGCACCCTCATCAAAGGACTCGCTGATCTTGAGGCTGCAGCTTGCCTTTGCACCGCACTCAAGGCTAATATCCTCGGGATCAACCTAAACATTCCGGTCTCTCTCAGTCTGCTTCTAAATGTTTGTAGCAAAAAAGTTCCCCCTGGTTTCCAATGCTAATCAAGAACCTAATTGATTATACAACACACACTTCATATGTATCAATATCTAATATCTTCTTGTTTGGAGGCAAACAAGATGATTTCAAGCTATTAAAAGTATTCTATATGATTGTCTTTGTGTCCTCTTCTAGTTACTTATGTATGTGTGTTTGATTGCCACGATTCTAAAATTTCAGTCGTATGTGTTGTCCTCTTACATATATAGTTTTATTGGGGGTGTGTATTTGTTGTTGAATAAATCAATAAAATAACAGTTTATATGATATGCCAATCTTTGTACAACATAGATCAATTAAATGTTATCATCTATACGTCCATACACAAAAAAAAATCATTTCAAAGATATAAACCAATTTACTAGACATACTTTTGTTAAACCACATAATTTAAAGAATGTAATGCCTTGTGTGGAAACAGAATTGGTTCAACCATCAAAATTGAGGGAAAGACTTAGGCATTACATGCATAAGGTCTCAACTCTCAACAAGGAAGAAAAATTTAAGAACTAAAAAAAGAAGAATCTAGGCTCAAGGCAAAAACTAAAGTCCAACCAAATCTCTTTATCATCCGTACATGTGCGTTGTCTCATGCATAACTTGACCTCGTCTACATTTACATGCGTGTCGATTAAAATTCGTATATAACAAGAAGATTTCTTACGAAACTTTTTTTTGTGTCCTTATAAAACATTTGAAGTTTAAGAGAAAAAAAAACACTCAGGCGTGAGAAAAAAAAAAAACGAATCGACAAAGATATGGTGCATGTCACGCATCAGGTTAGATCACATATCTATTTGTCATTGTAGTGACACTGACCAATAGATATGAAGTCGATTAAATCAATTGAAAAATGTGTGTATATGGAATAATCAAGGATAAACATAAAAACTATATCTAGATGGTCAACTTTATAGAACAAAAACAAGGGATTTAAGGTGTTTCCCCCTATTTGATCTAGATATATTTTTCAACTTTTTTTTCCAGCTAATGGAATTTATTTAACAAATAGTATATATATATATATATATATATATATATGGAAAATGTATATATACACACTATCTCCATAAGAAAATATAATATAAAACCAATTATTTTGGTCCACAAGTACAAAATAAAAATCTATATTATGATATATGGCTCTCTTTAACTCTCTTTCTCTCAGTTATTAATCTTTCAGAAAAATGAAAAGCATTTTGTGTTTATTGTCAGTTTTTCATTGGCTATATATGCCTATTGATCTGTATATGCCTAATAATTATTGTTAAGCTAAATCTGAACATTCAAGTAAACGGGAGAGTTAAGTGTAAGTAAGATTTCATTTTTGATAGAAATCATTCACATAAAATCGTGTGAGGAAACAAACTCAAAGACATACACACATATATATGATAAAGTTTTAAAGGTTCAACCACGTAAGTCTCAAAGCAACATACATATATTATAGGAGGAAATACATATAATGTCTAAGCTAAAAATGTTTTTTTATTTGGTTCAATCATGCATGCATGTTGTGTTTATAATTACAATTTGTTTTAAAAAATTTCGTTCGAATTTGTAATCGATATCTCGTATCTCTGTAGTCTGCTCCACGCAACTTTTTTTTTGGTTTGTTTGAAAAAAACAGAATAATTGAGACTTTCGTTTCTATGTGCTAAAACGACGAGACTACGGTTTTATGCCACGATTGTGTTGCCTGTCATTTCCTAGTTGGAAGGCCCCTAATCAGCAATTAAATTTCAATGGATCTATATGGAGCCCGTGAACTATTTTTGTTTTCTTCTTTATTCAACTTGTGTAAGGAAATGTATCTTATTTTTATATTGTGTGTAGGTACATAAGCTATGGAAGAAGCTATGTGTATTTGAATAGTTGAACACATTCTAAATGTATTTTATCAATTAAATAAACGTTATAGATGTGATTAGATTAACAAATTTTATAATTAATAATCACCAACTTGTAAAAAGATAAATTTTTTGTATTTGTTTTGTGGAGTTTATTACTATTATTTTTCCATATGTGACTAAAGTTTAATTTTTCTCTTGAGCTCCTTTTAAGTACATAGATCTAGCTATATGTAAGTACATAGACAATATAATCCACAGCAATATAAGAACACTAGAGAGTAGAGACCTAGCTAGTAATGATACATATTTCTTTTTATTTTAAAGGTAACAACAGATTTTGCCTTAAGAGTAATGCAAAAGATCTCTATGAGAACAAATGTCTTGGTGTATGAGTTTAGGTGATTTTGATGACAAAAGACAATAATTTGTAGGAATATAGCGGTTCGCTTCTCAAAAGCTTTTATCCGTACGATTTAAAAACAAAGATAAAGCTTTATCCGTACGTTCACACACGTTCCCATATATGCATCACTGCATGCATGTCTATTACACACAATTCACAAACTCCTATGCATATGTAGAGAGAGAGAGAGAGACACCAAAGAGTCAAATGGATAGACAGCGAGAAGCTGGAAACAAAACAAAACAAAAGATTACAGAGAACAAATTTTAAAGAAGTCCCATGCAAAAACCCTAGCTTAATTAAGACAACAACGACTAGAACAGAAAGCAACACTTGTTAAAAACCCTAGATAATCAACAAACCTGATCATCAAAAGCACCACATATATATTTGAATTATTACAGAAGCCTCGAAAACCCTTGATCGTACGTACATTTGTTAAACCAAGGGGTGTTTTTAGATCAAGTGAGAGGAGGGCAGACAAAACCAGAAGGAGGATTGATCCCACAAGTGATGAGAGCTTGAAGTGCAAGAGGAATGAAGATGTTTAAGTTGAGAAGCTTAAGTCTTATAGTTGTACAAAGACAAACGGCTGCTTCTATCTCAAGTAACCCTTGTAACACTGGACAACACACATTTTCCACCGGTTTGCCAAGTCCTATATGGATCAATCCTCCCAAAACGTCAACACAAGCTCCAAGCTTCAATGCGTTGATGGGACACGTTGGTTGTTTACCACCGCCTCCTCCTCCCCCTCCTCCAGGCCCGGAAGGTGGACCATATGGTGGATAGCCGGAAGATGGTGGTGGGACTGTGACCGGAGGTGGGTTAATGATTGGAGGGAGAAGTCCTGGAGGAGTTGGGACTGGAGGGAGAAGTCCCGGAGGAGTTGAGATAGGAGGGAGGAGTCCCGGAGGAGTTGTAACGGGCGGTGGTTGAATTGGAGGGCTTATGATCGGAGGTCTTGTGATTGGCGGTGGCCTCACGATTGGTGGTGGATAGACAACCGGAGGAGGTCTTATGATTGGCGGTGGTCTCACCACTACCGGAGGAGGTCTAACAATCGGCGGTGATTTCCCTCCTCCTCCTCCACCATGATGCGGCGGTCCTCCACCTTTCCCACCGTGGTGTGGGGGTTTAGCACCACCTTTCCCACCGTGATGCGGTGGAGGCTTGCTTCCACCACCTCCCCCTCCACCTCCGCCACCGCCGCCACCTCCTCCGCCGCCACCACCTCCACCGCCGCCTCCTCCACCGTGGTGTGGGGGTTTTGGAACCCGAGGGTGAGGATGAGTACAAGGAGTGCAAGCTTGGATCGTTGGTGGCAATGTGATGACCGTGAAGATCAAGAAAATGAATGAGGAAGCCAAAACCCTCGAACCCATTTTTGTTCTCAAAAAGGGTTTCTTGGATTTTCAAGAATCAAACTCTTACTGCATTATTGTCAAATCCTTTTGGCAAATAACACACGTAAATATATAGAAGAAGCTTAACTGCGACCCGTGACTCTTGTGGGGGATGGAAACCACAATAGGTATAGTGTTTATAAGTGTCGTATAGATTTTATTATATGTTTTGGTACGTACAAACATGTGTAAGGTAACAAAGTGCAGAAGAGAAAAAAGTTCCAAACTTCAAGAAATATTTGGAGCATTTTATTGCGTTACAACTTTAGTTATTTTGGATCGTTGTTGGTCCGATGCAAACTTCAAGGTCAAGCCCGTGACTAAAGTAAAAATATAAAGGAAGATTATGATCACTGTCTCCGAACTTAAACAGTCCGTGAAATTGTTTGTTTTCTTATGTGTATTTTAATTTCTTTTCAATGATTTTTGTGACTTGTAAGCACATTTTTGTTAAAAGTTGAAAAGACAAGACAACAAAACAGTGAAAGCTTCTCAATAGCATAGAGGGTTTCGTTGTCCGAACATTCCTAATAGAGAAAATTTATAAAACAGAAGCAAAAGAGCTATACTATAAAACACAATCGTAATTAATATATCTAAATCATTACGGGCTTTAACGAACAGGCCTTAAAGGCCCAATAATCGTTGTCCGAACTCCGAACATTCCTAATAGAGATAACAAAAGCAAAAAAAAAAAATATGGACAGAGTGGCACAATCGTAATAGTTCTAGATCATTCTGGGCTTTAACACATTTTGAACGTTCAGGCCCAAAAGGCCCAATAAGTCTGATCATGTCGGAATCTAAAACCGCGAAATGTTGAATATCTTGGTTTCCCAACTCCAAAATCTGCTTCTTTGCAACTTTTAGGGTTCTGAGATTTTTGGGGTTTAATTTGCTCGAATCGGAAAAGAATCGATTCCACGGTGTGTGGCATTTGATTGGTTTGATGTGTTCTCTGATACTCCGTGGAAGAGGATATATTGAGTTACAGAAATGGCGTAACTTTAGTGTATTCTCTGTTTTTTCCAATTCGTTCTCTTCTGTTGTTACTGCTGCTGGTGTGAGCTTTAGAGATGTTCGAAAAGGTAAGAACTTTACAGTCTCTTACCTCGTTGGTTCATTGGGTTTACCTAAAAAACTCGCAGAATTGATTTCTAGGAAAGTTAGGTTTGAGGACAAGGGCAATCCTGATTCTGTTCTGAGTCTTTTGAGGATTAATGGGTTCACAGATTCTCAGATCTCCAGCATCGTTACGACTTACCCAAGATTGCTTATACTAGATGCTGAGAAATCAGTTGCTCCAAAGCTTAAGTTTTTGCAGTCAAGAGGAGCTTCAAGCTCTGAGCTTACTGAGATTGTTTCGTCAGTTCCTGAACTCTTGGGAAAGAAATGGGGTAAAACTGTTAGCAGATACTATGATTTCATCAAAGAGGTTTTAGAAGCTGATAAGAGTTTCAAGTTCGAAAAGTTGTGTCATTCTTTGCCAGAGGGTAGTAGTAGGCAGGACAACAAAATCAGAAATGTTTTGGTTTTGAGAGATTTGGGTGTTCCTCAGAAGTTTCTATTCTCCTTGCTTACATCCGCTGGTCAACCTGTATGTGGAAAAGATAAATTTGAAGAGTCTCTCAGGAAGATTGTTGAGATGGGTTTTGATCCGACCACCCCAAAGTTTGTCCAAGCTCTCCATGTCTTTTACCAAACCAACGACAAGAAAATAGAAGAGAAGGTCAATGTCTACAAAGGGTTAGGCTTTGCTGTGGAAGATGTATGGGCTATGTTCAAGAAATGGCCTTACTGTTTGAAATACTCAGAGGATAAGATAAGTCATACATTTGAAACCTTGAAGATGTATGGTATGAACGAAGACGAGGTTCGTCAAGTGTTGAAGAAGTATCCACAGTTTGTACGTATTTCAGAGCAGAAGATATTGAACTTCATTGAAACTTGTTTAGGTCTAGGATTCAGCAGAGATGAGTTTGTGATGATAGTCAAGTGTTTTCCTATGTGCCTTGGATTGTCTGTAGAGACGGTGAAAAAGAAGACTGAGTTTGTGGTGAAGAAAATGAATTGGCAGCTAAAGGACATAACTTTGTTCCCTCCGGTACTTGGATACAGCTTGGAGAAGAGAATTGTACCAAGGTGTAATGTAATCAAAGCTCTAATGTCCAAAGGATTGCTTCCAAGCGAACTCCCTTCAATGGCGGCTGTCTTGTCATCTGCGGATGATGATTTCTTAAAAAGGTATGTGATAAAGCACGATGACAAGAAGCTTGTAACGGAGTTGATGGCTATTTTCACTAGAAAGAGGAGAAACGTCTGAATGACATCTATAAAGCACGATGATAAAGCTTCCGAATGAAATCAATAAAAGAGTTTCTTAGTTCCATACTTGTGCATAGCGTTTTTCATGGTTCAAGCATCATTCTTTCAGATGTTGATGAGAGTAAGTCTCTTCGAAGAGAGGCTTGCTGTGGTGAAGAAGATGAGAGAAAGTTTCTTCAGTGGATATTCTGCAGAGATGTTGAAGAAGACTGGATTTGTGGTGAAGAACATGAATTGGACACTGAAGACTCAAGTTCTTGGATGCAGCATGGAGAAGAAGATTGAACCAAGGTGTAACGTTATGAAATTATTTGATCGTGTATATGTTGAACTATATGCATATTGATCCTCAAAATTGTGTAACGGATCTCATTGATTCTCTTCATGTGAATTGTTAAATTCTCTGGTCATAAGTCTCGGATCAAACAAACAGTATATAAAATAATGTATATCTTATTTAAAATGATAACCATTGATAGTAACATAAGAGAATTGAGTAAAAACAAAGGCAAGAAGAGTCATAGACTCGACAACAAAACAAGACACAGTACTTAAAGTAACAAATAGTTTACTTGCTAACTTTTTTCTTCTTCTTCTGTCTTTCAGAAGACAGTTTTTTCACTTCAAACTTTACTCATCAGCCTTCTCCACCGGAGCTGCGACGACGGCTTCCACGGCGGCTACTTCAGTGGGTTTCTCCTCCTCTGCTTCTGGCTTCTTCTCTTCCTCCTCGACAACCACTGGAGCTTCTTCTGTCTTCTTTTCTTCTACTTCTTCCTCTTGTTTCGTCTCTACGACTTCCTCTGTTTTGCTCTCTTCCTCCACAACAGCGGGAGTCTCGACCGGAGCTTCTTCCTCTTTCTTGATCTCTACAACCTCTGGAGTTTCAACTGGAGCTTCCTCTGTTTTCTTCTCCTCTGTTTCTTCGGTTGGTTTCTCTGTTTCTTCAACGACCAAGTCTTTAGTCGTTACTTCGACAGGTGCTTCGGTTTCTGTTACCGGAGCTGGAGCGGACTCAGTGACGGCTTCAACGACGGCAGCTTCCTCCGGCTCCACAGTCTTTGGTGTTGGTACCTCAACGTTCTCAGCTGGTGCTGGAGTCACATGTTCAACCTGCAAAATCATTGTTTCAAAAGCTTAGTCACATAGATCAATTCCAAAACTGCGTGACGTTTTCATCTGGTATAAAACGGCAAGTAGTCTGTTTTAGTTAGCCTTCAATGGCTCGATTGCTTACAATTACAAAAGAAAGTTATAAGATCATTAATATACAGATGTGTAAACTTTGGTATAAACGTAGACTAACGCAACAAAGAACTTATAATCGTATCTTGATTTATAGCTTTTATATAGAGAATTGGATTTGGTTATATCAATCTTTAGACTAACCAAGAATTTGGTTATAAATTTTAAGAAGATATATAATTGCATACCTCGACGGTGGCCATTTGAATAAGTAGAAAATGAGCTAAAGATCTAAGAAAATGAAGAGAAGAGAGAATGTGTATGTGAGTGTGTTGTGTTTGTGTGATGCTTTGATGAGTGAAGAGTTTGGTTGAGAAGAGGGATTAATTTATAGGGGGAAACAAATACAACTTTATCAAAATTATTATTATTTTTTAGATGAAAATCACGTATTGAGCATAATTATTCTCTGGCAATAATAATTAATGAGATGAAAAAGAAGCTTTTGTTCTATATTTGTTTGAGAACGAAACACATCATGCACAGTTTGTGTTTGTGTAAGAAATAATATATACAATTAAGATCGTAAGCCACTTGCAATTAACGTCTATTTGTAAATAATTATTTTTTTTCTTCTTTTTTTAAATCGTTGTAAGCAAAGAAACTGTATTATCGTCTAATACAAATTATTATTGAAAATAAATTATTGTTACAAAATTTAAAATAATGAATATTTTTGAAGGAGTGATGATCATTAATATTATCATGGAGAAATTAATCGATGGCAGATACAAGAATGAAGGATATGGAATCATCTGTAATCTATAAGTTAATTTAACCGTGCATTACAATTATCATTATACCAAGAAATTAGAGACTTTAATTGTAAAAAGTATAGAGAAAATCATAATTATGTCGTTTTAGATACTGATTATTCATAAGCATTGTTGGATATGAAGAAGAAAAAATGTTTCATGAAACAATATAATGACATAAATACGGTAATATATTAACCGTTTCATGAAAGAATGTTTCATGAAACAATATAATGACCTAAAAGATTGTTTCATGATATTAAATAGGGATGTAAACATGTTTATGAACAATATAGACAACATGATATATGTATATCACTGACTCTGAGCATGCATGCTAATTGACTTATAAAAGTTCTGACCTAATAACAATTCGACCATCTACCAAAATTTAAGTATTTTTTTTTCTTTGGTCAAAAATTTAATTATTTCTATAAAATGTATTTACTTGCGTTAAGGTATATATAAGTTTGAAAATACCAAAGTTATTTGTTCGCATTATATAAGATTTAAATCTGGTAACTCATCCTTCTTAGAAGCACCGTCGTCTTGAAGTTTATTTTGCGACTCAGAACTTCAAGTTCAGACAACATTTTCATCGGTTCTTCCCACTAAAACTCATATATATATAAGCATGGTTAGCTTATTTTTATAAGAAAGCATTTTTATCTATGTGACATTTAAGGGCTAGAGAATTCTATCAAGACATTATATTAAAATGGTGTTACAATTCGTTCGTTTCTTTGGTCTTACTATTTTTATCATGATATATGTCGTTTTGAAAACTTGATCCCTCCAAAGAAAAAACTATTTCGGTGAAAGAGTTGGTTGGCAAATTAATTTTTATAATTCATAGAAAGATTAGGTGATCATTTATGAATAAAGTTGGTATTGTTATTAAGAATGTTGGTGTAACAGAGATGAAAACCAATTTTAGATTGCTTAGAATTAGCTATTTCTTTTTGTTTGAAATTGGGAGATACACAATATGAATGATATAAAAGTGTGAACAAGTAATAAAACTACCCGATATCATAAATGGATCCTCATTATAAAACTTTAGCATTTGGAGTTTTGTGTTTGCTTAACATTGTACAAAAGTAAATTATTTACTGAATTTCAGATAAGATATCACATGGAATGTAAAATCACAAAAAAGTAGCTAAATAGTACATACTTTATATATGAGTATATGTTTGTATATATATTCAGTGAAACATATGAATTGACCTCATCAAGTCGGCATACATGTAGTGAGGTATAATTTCATTTGATTTACAAATTCATATAATATGATTTTCTTAATAGAATCATTTACCACAATCTGAAACTGGGTTGAAAGATAATTATACTGTCTACGGAATGATCTTTTTTTATGTATTATAAATTTTTTATTAATCATGATAATTTGTAAAAAAAAAAGTAATAGTAATTTTTTATCTTGTGAATAAATATAGTATTAAAAGTTTGAAACATTTTTTTATATGCCTATATATATATATATATATATTTTGAAAAATATCCTGAATACTTTTTTCTCTTCTACATTTTCTATTTTTTTACCCAACATTTAATTTAGGTCACTGCTTCTTCTGTTTTTTTGGGTTTAAATCTTTTGCCAATGTTAATAATAATCTACGTGGACTGTTGACGACAAGTATTAGGCCGGTGGGTAGGACCCACTAAAGTCAGAAAATAATGACGTGGCGACAAGTTGTTTCCGATCGCAGACACGTGACTGTATGCCACGTAAGATTCCACGAAAACTGGACCCACATAGTTGCCTTGTCTGATTATGCCATGTCAGATAAAATCCTCACCGCAGTTTCGTCTTTGTGTGGAACTCTTCATATTATTATCAAATATGAAAAGGATTGTTCACACATGCAAATATTTTTTTTAAAAAAATATATGATAATTTAGCAAGTATACATTTAACAATTAATGTCTATTTTCTTCTCAATTACTGAAAATTAAGTTGAATTTTTTGATATTATTGGATAACCATCCTACGTTATTAAAAAGGTTATTTAAATTTATAGGAAAAAAGTTGTTTTCTTTCTTCCAAGTTGATATAACATTTTCATGAACGATGCCAAAATCATTTTTGTCAATCTTTTTGTAAAAAAAATATTCTGTAATTTTAAAATTACAAAAATGCTATTTTCTTAAATCAAGATTCTGATTAAAAATTATCGGACCGATTTTCCGGAAAAGAAAGAGAGTCAAATCTTATTCAAAAAAATACTCAAATATATAGTATGATAACTATAATTAATTTACATATAAGTACTATGTTAAAAAAAGTTGAAAACGACTATCATATTAAAAAAAGGGACGGATCATATTGTCTGCGCCACTGGAAATTGAAGTGTCAATTTTTTGTATCAAACTTCTATCGCTATTTTTAAATATTTTCGTGTAATCAAATTGCTAATTTCTTTATATCAAATTATCAACAAATGGGTATAGACACGTAATCACCATCTGTAAAAGGGTAGGCCAGCAGAAAAGCTGATCAAAGAAAAAAAGTGTTTGGACGGCTAAGATGGCCCCCCATAACTATTTTATTTTCCTGAAAATAGGAGTAAATACATCAATAATTCATATAAATGTATCATTAGAGTTTCAGAACACTTTCTTATAACTATTAGGAGAAAATGACTTATATATCGGATCTTAAAAAATAAAAATACGTACCATATTCTTTGTGGTTTTGTGATCATAAGGTAAATATGTTACTACATATGAATTAGTTTCTTGTGGTTGCTAAGTTTTATTCACATTATCACATATAACATGTAAATAAACTACGTTTTAGTAGGACTCATTTCATATAGTTAGTTTGTTATAACATTTGTATATGTATATTTAAAGATAAACCTACATATTAAATTTCGACATACACCACATATCTGATTCTTATTACTACTCCATCCGTTTCAATTTAAGTGATGTTTAATATTTATACACACGAATTAATAAAATATTTGTAGTAATTATAATTTGAAGCTTAATTAATATATCGAATTTGAAGCTTAAAAAGACATACCATCCTTTGTGTCAAGAGGTAGTAGACAAGTACGTTAAACTAGATCATAAGGTAAATATGTTACTACATATATGGATTTAGCTATTTTGGTTGGTAAGTTTTATCCATAGATGAACAAAATTGTTAATAGAAGAACCTTTCCTGTACCAGCCAATTAGTCATGTAGTTGTTATTGTACATATTTTTGGTCACTGCAACAATATAAAAACTTTTGGTAGGACTCATTTCATATCGTTTAGTTTGTCAAAACATTTGTTTCAATTTACATATTAAATTTAGCCACGCAACACATATTTGGGTTTTGCTACCATTCACTAAAGTCCTCAGACTATGTATGATAGTTTCAGCTTGTGTGTTTTTTGTTAACATTCATTTGTTTCAAACTCTAAAATTAACTAACGTTATAAATTAAAAGTGTAAGGTAGGTCTACATCCAAACTTAAAATTATATAATATATTTTTCTATGAAAATATTTAATAATATTAATGAAAAGGTCTTTTCGTACACTCTATCTTCGAATTATAAATTTTAATTCAGATCTATAATAAAAATAAAGTTGGAAATAATTGGCTTTTCTTTTTTTTTGCATCGGGAATTATGTAAGATGACCCCATGCGGGCATGCCTCGAACATGTGTAATCCTAAAGTCGGACAATCTTAAGTATAAGTGTCTCCTAATTGCAGCTGTATTATTATTTCTCAGCCCTTCGTTTTAAGCACCAACGGTGACAGATCTGCCCATTTGTTGATTATTTATTGGTCGGCCACATGTGAAGATTGATCTCAATATATATCCCATAATGTAATACAAAGAATCTCTCTGCGTCACCAAATAGTTGGCCACCGCTAATAACCATAGATCGAATCTATTTTGAGCTAATTTGTTTCTCTAAACTTCTGATCGAATCTTATCTTTTACCTATATCTAATTTAATCTATGGTATCAAAAATGAAGCTAGCTAATTGTTGTGTAGAGAAGTAGAAATGTAGAATAATAATTTAACAGCAAATTGCTTATAATTAGAAATAATTTCTTGATTGGTTAAGTGGTTTTTAGGACATAAAATATTTTAAATTTACATGAGTATTTTTGCGATATTGTCGGTTAATATTCTATTTCTTTGGATGATGATTAATATGTAAAAGTAAAAAAGAAAATAGTAAAAATGTTCAGGAGTCAGATGGCATATTCATAAGTTTTTAAAACTATTATACTTTGATTACAGAAATGTAAATCGAATAATTTTTGTATAATTTATGAATAATGGTATTTTAAAATAATTATTCTTATAATGTATGTTCAAGTTCTTATTATTATAAACATAATTCTACGTTTCACAGTTGACGATGTTTGATTCAAACTTTGATACACATACACAATCTCAAGAAAGTCTTTTAACAAAGGAGGTTGACGTACGTTATGATCTTGTTTAGTGTCTTGGTTTATCAGAATATTTCTTGTGCTTGAAGAAACTATATAATTTTTTTAGAAATTCACATAAGAGAATAAGAGAATTGAATAACCATTTTAGGATATGTGTATCCTTCTGGAAAGAGTGTTCAACTTTTCTAAAGCACAATCTGTTCAACTTTTCCTCTCTGCTTCATTTCACATCAAATTTGGCAACTAAAACTGGTCCCTATAGAAAAGTATTTCATTTAATTTAATATCTACAACTTTACAATACATAATTACAGATATATATATATATATATAAAACTTTATAATACATTCATAGATACCCACATGCATTCACATGTACAAATGTTGATGCTATGATTTTGAATTCTAACGTTCAAGAACAATGGATTCTAGTTTCGCTCAGTTAAGAGCAAATCAAGAATTGAAACTGGCTAAGAGGCAGGTTTAAGATTTCACTGATTCTTTCTTCCATCTTTTTAAGCTCAGTTTATCTTATATGAGAAATGAGATATGTGTTGGTGTGCATCACACATAGTGAACTGTTTGATCCTCTTCCGTATGGCCCAAGCTACATAGGGTTGCTTTTGAGGCCATTCATTGAAATTAGTATTTTTTTCAATCACACACAATTGGGTGCATGCAAAAAACCTCACAAGGCCACTATTGGGTAAAGGAAACTGATAATAGCCCAAGTAGACGAATACATATTCTTATGCGGTAAGTTTTGTTGAAACCCTTGACTTTATTTCCTCAACATTACATATGTACATAGGACCGTCGTCCTCTAGACGTATATACGTACGTATCTCCATACAAATATTACGTGCGTTATAGAGAATACCTATATATTTAGAAAATTTTGATTTGAGAGTGAGATTTACAAGATTATAGGATCACCACATGACCATTTCGTCAAGCTCTAAATATAAACTTTCCTCAACAAAAACTCCCTTTCTCTCCATCTCTCATCTCGAGCCATCGTAGCATTTCTAATCCAAACCAGCGGTTGACATTGTCTAAGATCTTATTGGATCAACAAGAGCATTTTTTTTGTTTTGGTTAGAGGAAACAAATTATGGGTTTGGAAGATGAGAAGAAGGAAGGAGAAGCTTCAGGAGAGACATCAGAGAAAGAAATTGGGTTAAGCAGAAAGAACAGTCAGAGCTCTTTGTCTCCGACAGAGGATGATGAAGATGATGAAGACAAGAAGCTGGAAATTGGTCCCATGATCGCTCTAAAAGAACAACTTGAGAAAGACAAGGTTTTGTTTTGTTTGTTTATATGAAATTATCTTAACTATACCAAATTATGGATGCATATTCTTGGGATATTAACGTATGAATTAACATATAATTACGTATACAAAAATGTTACAACAATAGATGTTCGTTAAATATTCATATTTTTAACGAAAAAATTTAATAGGATGATGAAAGCTTGAGGAGGTGGAAGGAACAACTTCTTGGCGTCGTGGATTTGGAAGATGTCGGAGGTAAACCAAATACAGAACTTCGTTTAGAATAGATTTTATAGTTCGTAACTATGGTTTTAGAATATACATTAAGACTCAAATGTGTATAGTTCTAATGATTAAAAGATTATAATGGTCTCACTAGTTCTGATTTAAGTGAAGTATTATGCACAAGAGGAACGAATCATGTATGTTAGTCTAGTGACATTTTGGCTTTCTTTAGTCTTAATTACAAAAAAATGGATACAAAATACATAACCATTGACTCATGTTTTGGAAGGAAAAACTTAAAATGTTATCCAACATACAAATCAATAAATAAAAATGTAATGCAGAGACACCGGATCCAGTAGTAAAGATACTAGATCTCACAATAAGATCACCGGACAGAGAGGAAATGGTATTGACAATACCCGAAGATGGTTTGCCGAACCCGAAAGGACCTTGGTTTACCATAAAGGAAGGTTCTAAGTACACTCTTGTCTTCAACTTCCGTGTCACAAACAACATTGTGTCAGGCCTTCGCTATAACAACACCGTTTGGAAAACTGGCGTTAAGGGTACGTATGATCTTTTCTTTTCTTTTTCGCTTGTGTATATCTTCGTTTGAATGTTCCTATTCTAATGTTTTGAGCAGTGGATAGTGCAAAAACAATGCTTGGTACGTTTAGTCCTCAAGCTGAGCCTTACCAACATGTAATGCCTGAAGAAACAACACCCTCTGGTATGTTTGCTAGAGGATCCTATACCGCAAGAACTAAGGTATATCATTTCATAACCAAATATATAGTTATTTTCACTAATCTTGATGAGTTTGATGATAATCTTGTTATATGTAACAGTTCGTTGATGACGATAATAAGTGTTACTTGGAGATCAACTACACCTTCGACATCCGCAAGAATTGGCAATGATCTACCGAATTATACAATCTCTCAAGTCTAAACCAAAGCTTATTTTGATAATATATATTTTATAATTTTACATTCGATTTTGCAGACTAGAAAATTTTTATTTAGTTTTCGATTAAATCAGCATGAATAAGATACCATTTTTGTATTTATGATATTTATCGAAGAAAATACATATAAAAAGATGGGTAACCAATAGGAAAATAAGTGAAACTATATACTTCCATATTCTCTGTTTTTAATCAAGAAATAAAAGAACAAAATATTCATCGGGGGAAAAAAATAATAACTCGAGTGTTACGTATCAACCAAAACACACAAATAAGTTCGAAGCCAAAAGAATTTGATCAATGATCATTGTGATGGTATAAACTTAGTAGTATGGGATTGATGGTGGAGGAGGTGATGCGTAAGAGACACCGCGGATAGGTGGAAGAGGTGTGTCGTCGTATGATGGAGGCGGCGGAGAAGGTGGTGTTGGTGTTTGGTAGTGATGGTCTTTACTTGGACTGTCGTTGCATCCCTTTGGTGGTGGTGATTGATGATACTCTGGTGGTGGTGGCGGAGAGTGCTTTGGGCTTGGCGGTGGATGGTATTCAACTGGTGGCGGCGGTGGAGGGCTTTGTGTTACCGGAGGGTAGTAAACTGGTGGCGGCGGTGGAGGACTTGGTGTTACCGGGGGATAGTACACTGGCGGTGGCGGTGGAGGGCTTGGTGTTACCGGCGGATAGTACACTGGCGGCGGCGGTGGAGGGCTTGGTGTTACCGGAGGGTAGTAAACCGGTGCTGGCGGTGGAGGGCTTGGTGTTACCGGCGGATAGTACACTGGCGGCGGCGGTGGAGGGCTTTGTGTTACCGGAGAGTAGTAAACTGGTGGTGGACTTGGTGTTACCGGGGTATAGTACACTGGTGGCGGCGGCGGAGGACTTTGGTTGACAGGTGAATAGTAAACCGGCGGAGGAGGAGGAGATTGTGTAACCGGTGTGTAGTAGACCGGTGGTGGTGGAGATAGTGCGGCGTAGTAAGTAGCCGGTGGTGACGGTGGCGGAGAAGGCGTGTATTGGTAGTAAGGCGGTGAAGGTGATGGATAGTATTCCCTTGGTGAAGGAGTTGGCTCATATTCTGGAGGCGGTGGCGGCGGGGGACTTTGTGTTGTGGGTGGGCAGTTAACTACAGGCGGCGGTGGTGGAGGAGATGAGTAGATGTATGGCGGAGGAGGAGATGGTGACGGGGGTGGAGGAGGTGAGTAAATGTATGGTGGGGGAGGAGATGATGGTGGTGGAGGAGGGTATGCTCTAACGGTAGGCGACATATCGGAAGAAGGAGGAGGAGGTGAAGATGGCTCATATTTTAGCGGTGGCGGAGGAGGATACGTCTTGACAGAAGGCGACATTTTAGAAGAAGGCGGTGGCGGAGTTGCTCTAAAAGTAGGCGACATCTTAAAAGAAGGTGGTGGCGGAGTTGCTCTAAAAGTAGGCGACATTCTTGAAGACGGAGGCGGTGTTGCCGGAGGAGGAAGTACTCGGACGGTGGGTGACATTCTAAAAGACGGTGGTGGAGGCAAAAAGAAGTTGTTGCATCCAAATTTGCTACAATCAACCGGGCGTGAAGCTGGAGAAGAACACTCTTTAGACGATCTTTGACGTTCTTTACCAGCAATACAATTCATCGAGCCATTAACCGCAACATTGTCTCCGGAAAGAGCCGCGCATCTCGGGGCATCACCGGTGAAGAAGTTGGAAGAGTAAGTGAAGTTCTCAAGGTTAGAAAGCTGGCAAATGCTGCTTGGGATAACTCCTGTGAATCTATTGTTAGCAACGTTGAGCTGTTCCAAACTCCTCATGTTTCCAATGGTTGATGGTAATGGACCGCTTAAGCGATTGAAACTGATGTCGAAAACAGTCACATTCTTGAGATTTCCGATCTGTGGTGGTAAGCAACCAGTTAAGTTATCGTTAGAGAGGATGATCTCGTTAAGAGTCTTTCCCATTAAACCGATACTACCAGGTATGCAACCTCCAAGATCGTTATCAGCAAGAACCAATGCAGAAACAGGAGAGTTTCCCATGTTTTCGGGTATTCCGAACCTAAACCTGTTATGGTTCAAGAATATCGCGTCAAGCTCTTTATCGAAAAGCTTAGCCGGGATAACACCTTCAAACTCGTTGTAACGGAGATCCAAGAACTTGAGAGAAGGCAAAGACAGGACAACGGTAGGGAACTTCCCAACAAAACGGTTGTTACTCAAATCAAGCTCGAAGAGAAGCTTCATGTTTTTAAACGTGATGGGAACTTCTCCACAGAAACGGTTTGAGTTGAGATGGAATAGAGCAAGATCAGTGAGAAGACCAAGCTCACGAGGTAAGTAGCCAGCCATATCCGCATGGTTAAGATCAATACCCGCAACAACTCGGGTTTTCGGACTAGAAGGAGAAGGAGCACAGAAGATACCGTTGTAGGAACAAACATCAGAGCCATTCCAATTAGCAGTGAAGTTAAAAGGATCAGAGAAAATAGCTTGTTTCCATGATTGAAGAGCAATGTAGGCTTGTCGAAGACTCGGGTTTTCGAACTTGAGACTCGGGTCTACTTTAATACCATCACCGCTTATATCATCGTCATCATCAGCGGCTCTAGTCTGCAAGAAACAAGCAGAGAACAAGAGGAAGAGAAAGAAGAATAAACGAAGAGAAGAAGAAGGTAACAACAACATAATTTTTTGTGTTTTGTTTTGTGAGAAAACTATGAGAGGTTTATGTTGGAGAGAAAATGTAATATTTTAGCACATGGGACAAGAGACCCCCCCACCTCACTAATGTTGTGACATCTAAGAACTCCATGTGCTTCTTTATAAAAACTAGAGAAGTCGTATCTAATTTTCTTGTAGAATTATTAAGTAATCAATCAAGTTTTGTGTTTATAGTTTATAATATTATGAAACAATATTGATTGGCACGTCGAGGGAAGAGACAAAAGACTGAACCTTTTTAATTTACGCGGCCATAGATTGGAGCCACCGTCACCGACTTGTAAACTCTATATAGTATAAACTTGGATACATGTCCCCAAAGATTCTCTGAAGCCGTCACTGACCTATAAAACGCGTTTCTCGATAATTCAAAGTAATAGTATGATTTTTTAAACACAACTCTTTAAAGGACATGAATGCACATCTGTATGTTGTAACTTGGATGCATGTCTGTCACAGGCAATATATATAACATATCTTCAAGAATACTACTTTTGGATATTTTTAACGAACATAACTGTTCAATCTCACCTGGTTGGTAAAGCATTCCTCTGTTTTATTGTAGCTGTATCTTATGTAATCTATGTGCATTGTAAGCTTAATTCACACCTTGAAGCTCAATTCTTTATTGACTGGCTAAAATGTACAACAAGAAAGAAAGCTCTGCAGACTAGAGATTTATTTGGTCAGATGATGTGAGATCTTTGAGGTAAGGGTTCCTCTGGCTGATATAAAAACAGTCAACACAACAATCGAAAACTAAACACAATGATCTAGTTAAATGCAGCTTGAAGAGGACAAAAGATACAAGAAACATAAATATGAAACATGAAATGTGATCTTAAGAGAGAAATATATGTGAAGTTCTTGATCCAATATTTCAGTGAAGTAAACCAATGTGACAAGAAAAGATTTGACAACAGCATTGAAACTAAAACACATTTTAATTAAAAGGGTTGAAACAACATAGCAAACAACAATTACAAACCCACACTTGGAGTATCTGTAGCTATTGAGTAACCAACATTTGGTAAAATCTGCAGTAAAACTAGCAGAACTGGCTTTAAACTCACTTCATTCTGCATTCCTAATATCTTAAGCAACATTGGATAGTGACGACGAATCACAAAATTTTAAAATGAAAAGATCCAGTTCTCAATAAACGAGGACCAGAGCATTGTTTCACCACGTTAATCTCAAAACTTCAAGCTCATATGTCAACAAGAAACTGAAAACCACAAAGAACAATCATATAACAAACACACGCAAGATCCTGTAATCGCGGGAGAAAACAAAACAATCAGATTGGTCTTTACTCTAGTCATAACTGTAATTGTATTAGCCTAGATCTATAAAAGAAATCAGAGTTCATTTCTTTAACAGAGAGGTGTAACGCTGATATATAGAGACCAGAGTATGGTTACATTGAAACATACCACACACTAACTTGAAGCTCAAAACTGAATCTTTCATGTTAACAAACAAACATCAATCATACCAAAACACACAAGATTGATCTATTACTCTAATCAAAAGTCAAAACCTTTACTTGGTAAGCTGCATCGAATCTAAATTTATAAAAGATTAGCTTTTTCTCTTTCACTAGTGTGGATCACTTTACACTTTTGTTTCAGAACTAATCACGAACCTTGCATACCTAATCATGGAAGCGGAAGATAACGAGCACATTCAAAGTCTCCATTGTTAGTGCAACAACGAAGACGCTTTCTTGTTTAATTCAACGGAAATAAAGGAACGAGCTTTCGAATTCGTCCGAATTTTTTTAAGCCCCGTAGAGTTTGAGATTCCGACGTCGGGAAGCGCCGTCGAGTTAACGCTCCGGCGATTAAGCTTACGATGTCGTTTCATTCTATATTGTTTCTTTTCTCTTTCCTTTTCCTTTAAAAAAAAAATATATATATTTCAAAATATTTATTTTCTTACAAACATATTTTATTGACTGAAATGCATAATTTAACCCTCAACTACCGAAATTAATTGACTAATAATGATGAACTCACCATTTCATTTTTAACTTGTAAATAAACTAATTTGTAACTAAATTTTTCTTTTTTACCAAATATATATAAAATAAAATAAAAAACTTGTTATATATACACACTTTTCTAATATTTTAACTTTATAAATTACTACAGACAACATGCTACCAAAACAAAAATAACTAGAGACAATCTTATACTAAAATTGTTTTTTAAAAAATTTATTTTTTAATGCCTTATAAGTAAAACAAAATTATGTATTTATACTTTTTTTTTTGTCAACAAAATTATGTATTTATACTGTGTCAGATTATTTTAATTTTTCTGTCAAGTCAGATTATTTAGTTAGAATATTTCCTATTAAAGTGATAATTAGATTATAATATTTGGGAGACAAATTATCGAATTAAACAGGCCGAGACAGGTAAGGCCCATGTGCCTTGAGATCATTTGGTTCCTTTCTCTTTTTAAAAACAAAATAAAGCCACAAAATTGCAAACTCATTTCATCTATCAAAGAATATCACAAACCTATAAAATATTTCATATTTGATAAAATACAGAATGCCAGGTGAATGAATTCTTAGGAAATGTTAGAGAAGAAATTGTGTCTGTCCTTCTTTTTCTATTGTAAATCATGTTAATCACTTCTGTCGAATAAACAATTTTTCTGATAATTATCTCGCATTTTTTTTTTCAAAAAAATTGGATTGTTTATAAAAAAAATTCCTTTAAAATTTAAAAATTTCATCAAACAAAAAAATAAGACTAATACTATTTTCTTTGTATCATGGATGAAATTGGAAATTCCTTAAAATATTGTGTTCGAATTATTAAAATAATAATAGTTTTTGAAATAATTACGAATAATATATTATGTGAATTTGAATCGGGTTTATGTCACTATAACAGTCAAGTAGGCTAACAGAAACCATGTACATGTTCTATATATTTTTATCGAATTTAATTAATTAAATATTATGTTGAAATTTGATGATACGCAATTGGGTTTTGAATTAGAAAATTATTTAACAAAAAATACAAGACACTATATGTAACTTGAAGCTTTGTTATTTGAAGTTTATATATAAGATTGATATATTTTAAACGTGTAGAAATATATCTCTTTATAAGAGTTTAATTAGTTATGGACAAATAACAATAAAAACTACTATCAAGATTTGGTAAAGTGACAAAGGAAACTTATCTAAACTAGAACCACATTGGCGGCGGAAGAGTGTTTTAGGATTTAGCCCTGACCCCTTCGAATCGTACTTTGATCTCTAAGAGTAAATGTACGATTGTTCAGAACAAGGAGAGTCGAATGATCTTAAAGTCAAAGTGTGGCCAAATCTTTTACTTGACGCAAACAGCTGCATTAAAAGTGAACATGACACAGTCATCATGATTCAAAAGTGATTTTAAGATGAAAGTGTGAATAATGTAAAGATCCATTAAATCACATTCATTCAATAACGATAGAGTTTGCGTGGTGTTGTTGCATATAGACATATATATATCAACTTCGTGGCTCTATACTACTATACAAAGTCATTGCTTCAGTATGGGCCGAGAGGTACACATGCATGTGGTGGCTTTAACGACGCAATAAATTTTCTGAGATAGACTTTGTTTCTTGGGATACAATAAGTTTGCTAAGACTATACAAAAAGATTTGGTTCCCGACAAGTATATTAATTTGAATGTTTATACGTATAGAAAAGTATTGATTTGAATGTTACACACTTTTCTTTTAAAGAATTATGTTTTAGATATATTTATTCTCAGTAACTACTGAAACCTAACAAGCGAGTAATTTCTATCGTTTTTCTCATTTTAACTTTTAAAGTTTTTTTCTTGTAAAATTTCTTATTATATCATAAACATATCAAACTACTAGTATGTAATTTAAAAAACCATTAACGTATTTTCTCATCTCTGTTGTCTTATTACCGAATTTAGTCTCTTAAAAAACGTATAATTTATAATTATGTCAAAAAAACATTTTCCTCTGCCGCATATGGTCGTTGTGACCATTTTTAAAGACACCAAATTACAAAAAAAAAAAAAATTTACTTGGTTTCAATATTGTAAAAACTGTTATTAATGTTAATCAACTGACATTTATTTTATCGCTAGATAAATTAATGACTGTAATACATTTTTCGTGTCGTTGTATCAGCCGTTGTTGCATCAACTTAAAAATAAACAAACTAAATTTTTATATTTACATAGAATAGTTATAAGAGTTTAGCAACCAAAATGCCATGAATGCCATTAACCAAAAAATCCCTATTAATTATATTTAAGGAAAAATAAATAACTTTTAAGCTTTAGGAGTATGAGAAATGGTTGAAGTGGATCATATGTTTCTTATGTCAGAAAAAAAAAAAAAAAAAAAAAGAGAATGAATAATTCGTTTTTTTCCCATTTGTCACACACACAAAACAAAATTACAAAAAAAAATAAAATGATTTTTATAATCCATTGCTTGCTCTCTCTTCCAGAGAAAGGGGAAAAAAAAAAAAAAAAATTCGATTCCCTGATATTTTCTGGTGCTTCGCTTTGCTTTGCTTTTTCTCTTCACAAAATATTATTCGATTCCTTTTTTTCCCTTTTTACGCTCTCTGCAAATCTATCATCGTTCCCATCGCTGTATCCTCCAAATCTTCGCTTCAAAACCAAAAGCTCTTCCCTTGATTCAAACATCTCTCTCTCTCTCTCTTCCCAAGAGGTACGCAAATTCGAATTTGACATTTTCTTCACTTCACAGTTCACTTTGGGATTTCTTCAGTCTATTCAAAATTTAATTCCTTAGTTGTATTTAAGTATCTTCGTAATCCCAGTATTGGGTTGATGAAACGTCGATTAAAATCACAGCTTTTTTTTTTTCTTTCTTGGATTGGAATCTGAGTTTTAATGGGTTACAGTAATCTTAGATTTTTGATTTTTTAGAGTTTGGGAATCTGAGATGTCGACGTTTACTGATAGGGTTTTAGTAAAAATTCCTAATTTCATAGTAATGATTTACAAAATCTTTGTTTTGGTTTTCAGTTGTTGTTTTGGTACAGATGTTTTGATTTTTCTGGAAAAAAAATCAAGTTTTTTTAAAGAGCTATGGAAGAGGAGAATGTTACTAGTTCACCTTCTACACAAGTTCCTAGGATTAGGCATCGAAGACGTTCTAATGAGGTTTGTTTCTTCTTCTTCTTTGCTTCACTGAAAAATTTGAAGTAAGTAAAGGTTTACTGAGTTTTGTGGTTTTGGTTTGTGTTAGGCTGTTGTTGATGGTGATAGAGTGAATGCGAGCCCTTTGTTGGTTAATGATCGAAATAAGTACAAATCTTTCATGGTCAGGACTTACTCTACGTTATGGATGATTGGTGGTTTTGTTTTGGTTGTCTACATGGGACATCTCTATATCACAGCTATGGTTGTTGTTATTCAAATCTTTATGGCTAAAGAGTTGTTTAATCTGCTGAGGAAAGCACCCGAAGATAAATGTCTCCCCTATATTAAACAGCTCAATTGGTAAAGTCAGAAGCTTTTTCGTCTTGTCATTTTCTTTCCTTAGGTTGTTAAAGAAAAACTATTGGCTCAGGTGCTGTAAAATGTTGTTAAGTCGTCTTGCTGTTTGTTTTCCTCTGCAGGCACTTCTTTTTCACTGCCATGCTTTTTGTATATGGTCGGATCCTTAGTCAACGATTAGCCAATACAATGACTGCAGATCAGTTCTTTTATCGGCTAGTCAGCGGCTTAATCAAATACCATATGGCCATCTGTTACTCCTTGTATATTATAGGTCAGTGTTTTTCACCATTTTTTCCTATTTGTGCAATTTGGTTTTTCACTCATGGTTTATGTGATTCACCCTTGCATTTGATGCTTACTGAATATGCCACGATGTATCAAATTTCAGGTTTCATGTGGTTCATTCTGACATTAAAAAAGAAGATGTACAAGTACCAGTTTGGACAGTATGCATGGACCCACATGATTTTGATAGTCGTGTTTACTCAATCATCGTTCACTGTTGCCAACATATTTGAAGGGATCTTCTGGTAAACTTTTAAAAATTTTCAGCATTTGAAGTTTTTCCATCTACCCGTATGTTAAGTTTGCTAAGAAAACAATCCTGTCCTCTTCTATTTGTCACTACAATACGATGAGACTGCTTAACAGTCATTCCAAGCATCTTGCTTCCTACTTTTGTATATGTTTATCTCGATCTGATTTACCTTTTTTTTCTTTGCTGCAATGTAATTGTCTACTTTTGATGGTTTTCAATACAGGTTTCTTCTTCCAGCGTCTTTAATTATAATCAACGACATCTTTGCTTACATTTTCGGTTTCTTCTTTGGAAGAACACCCTTGATAAAGCTATCTCCAAAGAAGACATGGGAGGGATTCATTGGAGCCTCTGTGACAACTATCATCTCTGCATTTGTTGTAAGTATATGTTACCTCTGTCACCACATGACATATTACAAAGCCTATATAATTTCACTGTATCTTCCGAGCCTCTGCCTAAAAATGTTTTATATGTGTAATGTTTCAGCTTGCAAATATTTTGGGTCGTTTCCCATGGTTGACATGTCCACGAGAGGTTAGTCATTGAGCAAATACAATGATACTGACTGAGAATACGATCTTTGAAAAATATTATAGTAAATATGTGAATCATTATACAGGATTTATCCACTGGGTGGCTACAATGTGACGCTGATCCATTGTTCAAACCTGAACCGTTTGCTTTACCTTCGTGGATTCCAGAATGGGTGAGCTTTGTTATCATGTTACATATCTTAGAAGAAGCTTATCTGTGGTGTCTTCTTTATGATGATCAAATTCACATAGGTTTCTATTCGGGTATGACTGGGTATTATAACTCTAGGCCTGTTAATTGAATATAGGCGAAGTTTCTCAGAGAATAACTGACTTCGTAGCATGCTCTTGAAGAGATTCAGATTCTGACCATTTTAATAGACGTTAGCTAGTGATAACTAACAACAAAACAATGGTAGTATTAAACTGAGCAGTAGGTTTTTCTGTTACATAAAAAAAATCCTAAAGTTTCTCAACTTCTTACTATACTTTTGCAGTTTCCTTGGAAAGAAATGACGATCCTCCCTGTTCAATGGCATGCTTTATGTCATGGTTTGTTTGCTTCAATCATAGCACCTTTTGGAGGGTTTTTCGCTAGCGGATTTAAGAGAGCATTCAAAATCAAGGTCTGTAATTCGCACCACCAAAATTGGGATTTGCTTCGCTTTCCGTACACATCTAACCTCTAAAGAAACCGTTAATGCAGGACTTTGGTGATAGTATTCCAGGACATGGTGGAATCACAGATAGAATGGACTGTCAGGTAACTCTAATGAAACTAGTATTACTACATAAGTTTATGATTAGGTCTTTTGATAGCAGAATTGAGTGTGTTAAGAAAAACACAGTAGAGAACTGCAGAAACCGTAATGGTTTACTTAGTTGTTTTCTCTGTAAAATTGTGGATGGAGAACCAAGAAATTGTTAGGTTTTTGTTTTAAACGCCAAGTTTTGCGTTTGCCTTACCATGTGAAAAACAGAAAAAAGTTAGAATAGGAAATCAAATTTTTTTAAATGGATATATTTTTTATGTTTTGCAAATGTAAACGAGAAGTTCCAAAAGCAAACAGTAGGGAAGCGTAACCTTTGCATTTGGTGTTTCTGTTGACAAATAAGTTAAACAAAAGTTTTGTTTATAATGGTAAAAATTATGGGTTCATTTTGGAGAAAAGGCACAAACTAACCACCTAAGGCATTATACTGTGATATGTTTTTACATTGATGTTTAGTACTTCATTCACTGTCCTCATCAATAGGAAATACATGATGAAAAAATCTTATATTCCTGGCTTTTTTTACTCTCTGCCTTGTTCATTCAAACCAAACCTCTTTTTTCAATTGTGACAGATGGTTATGGCAGTATTCGCTTACATATACCTCCAGTCATTTATAGTCTCCCAAAGCGTTTCGGTTGACAAAATCTTGGACCAGGTAAGTGAACTTCTCGATTCTGTATCCAACCAAAACCAAAATCATTTTAAGACAAATCAATCAATCATGTAATGGTTTCCATTGTAGATATTGACGAACCTTACCTTCGAGGAACAACAAGCTCTCTTCATGAAATTAGGGCAAATGATGAAGGACAAGCTTCAATAGTTTCCACTACCAAAACTGTTTTTTTTTCCTTTCCTTCCAGATTCAGATTCAGATTCTCCAAGAAGCAGGTTCTATATAACTCTGGAATATCCCTTTTTATCAAATTCCTTAGTAGAAGACAATAAAATTAAAATTGGTTAAGATTTGTTCTCTGCCATTGTAAATTTCTCTTGACATTTGTTGAAAATTAGAAAGCTCTTTTTTTAAGTCTTCTCATTTGATACAATAGGGTATGAAAGGGAAGTTGTATCTACTATCTCTTCTATCTACTTAACTTGTAGCTTTGTTGGTTTCATTTGTATTTTGTATATTGGTTCAATTCAAACATTATTTGGTTTGCTTGTCTCATGATTCTATTTGTTGTGTTTCTTGATAGTCAAAGACTACACCAAAACGGTGACATTTAATAAGGAGGTGTTTGTCTCTTTTGGGCTTTGAATATAAGGCTTACATTGTTAACTTTGAGATCGGTCCAAGAAAAAGCTTTACATTCAGGTCCAAATGATACAAACATATATTAACACTATAGTTTATAGCTTTATATCACAAATTAATCGAATTTTTCTACTGTGTTGCAATAATGGTTAGCTACTGTAAATGTTTTATAAATGACAAAAAAAAATTAGTCTAGGCTAAAGTGATCTTAATGACATAATCAAAGTGTATTTATACGACTCAATATTCAAATTTGTTCAAATAGACTACAGACTACTAAAAAAAAATTAATGTGATCACGTTTTCACGTATATGTACGTTGAACTCACAAATGTACGTTTGCACCCAAGTACATTGAACATAGACGTTTTAGTCAAAGTGTGTGTTTAAAAGCCTGCTACTAATCTCCGCGTCTGAAGAAGATAAAAAACAAAACAAACGCAAGGTGATCAACACATCTCGTCACGTGACAATCACAAGCTAACCTTGACTCACTTGTTGTCTGGCACGTGTGTTCACGCGCCGGCAGCTAAGACTAAACACGCCAGTCTTAATCCACGTCAGCAGCTGATAAGCCTCATCATTTATCTGACGTGGACTTCGGTAAAAAACAAAAACACAAAAGAAGAGACCAAATCCAACTAAATTAACTTTTATTCTTGTCTTATTATAAAAAAAATAACGTGATAAATTGCAAATTTTATTTCTCATATAGAAATAAATCCGAATAAATTCAGCAATTATTCATATTAAAGAGGAAAATAATTTTAAGATTTTATTTTACTGAGAGCTAACCCATGATTTAAACCAAATACATTTCACAATCATCTCTAAGTACTAGCGAAAGTTATAAAAAAAATAACATGACATTAACGACGTTAATTCTATCTCCTCACCTAATCGAGTATACACTTTTTTCTCATACTTTGTCACATTATTTCACCATTCTGTCGTCATCTTTTATCATTTTGTCGTTTACTCCGTTAAAGCCTCTCACTACTAAACGTTAAAATCGCTATGTATAAATATACGTTAATAAAATTCTCCGAATCATTTGTATTATCAAAAGGACAAAAAGAGAAAGAGATGGTGGAGATTCAAAGAAGATTCAAGAGAACTGAGTCGGCTTTTAACGTAGCGGCGGCGCGTGTACGTCCTCTGCCGCGTGATAATAGTAGTGGAAGCGATCATTCGCCTGATCTTTCGGATTTGGTCGCATCTTTTATGGAGAGAGAGGAACGTATAATAATACTACCGGAGGAAGAAGAAACTTCTTCCGACGACAATGATTTGGGAGATGTTAAGGAGAGGTTAGGGAAGCTTTTAGAAGGTTTATCCCGTGGCGAAGAACGGATGAGAATAGTGGCGGCGGTGACGGAGGTTGCTGAAATGTTCGTCGGAGATAATATTAGTTCTCCTAAACGTCAGTTGATGGCTTTTCTACGTAACAAGGGTTTTGATGCAGGTATATACATAATCTTATCATATTTTTCTATATAATATATTGAAATTTACATTTTTATATATGTAACGAAAGTGGGATTAGCGAAGAAGATTTTACTGGTTTGTGACTAATTTAAGGGTTTATATATAGTTAAGCTAGGGTAAATCTTTCATATCTTATGCAGAATTGTGACTTTTTGTTTAACAGTTTAAATCACGGTTCCACAATTTATGTCGATTACTATATAGTTTACTCAAGTTTTGGTCTTCATTAGTTTAAGGGTCTGTACGTTTTATTATATCTCTCTTTTTTTTTTTTTTTATCACACAAAAAAGTTATGATTTATTAGATTTAATATAGTTGTCAAATTTGCTTTTTTAAGTTTCCTTTTTCCGTAAGTAGTAAAATTGGAATTTTTTTCTTTTCTATATCTCTTTTTGTCGAAACTCGCAAGTAGCCAAATGTTATTTCTCATGCACCTAAATTTTGAGAAAAAGACTTCTAACTCCCCTTCATATTTCACTTGCCGTCGTACTTGAACTAAGTTGTACTATATGTTATAGATATAAATATCGTTGTAATAAAAGTTGTACTTCATATTTCGCTCATGGTACGTACTTGAAATAATTTGTACTATACAAGTTAATATTAAATGGTATTTAATAACCTTCACCGTATTGATAGGTCTTTGCAAGTCGCGATGGGAGAGATCCGACAAGTACACGGCCGGAGAATACGAGTACGTAGACGTCCAATGCGACGGGGATCATTGTAATCGGTACATCATCGAGACAAACCTTACCGGAGAATTTGAGATAGCTCGACCAACGAAAAGGTACCTCGCGATATTAAACCAAGTTCCACGTGTCTTCGTGGGGACTTCTGAAGAGCTGAAACATTTCGTGAGGATCATGTGCCACGAGATGAGACGGTCCATGAAGCACGTAGGGATCCACGTGCCACCGTGGAGGAGGAACGGTTACATGCAAGCTAAGTGGTTCGGTTTCTATAAACGGATCACATCGACGACGGCAATAAATTACGAAATGGTTAATAGCAATGATATGACGGCGTTTAAAGGTTGCAAGGAAGAGTTTTGGGAAGCCAAAGGTCTTAAGGTTATGGTTGGTCAGCTTTCAATTGCTTTCAACACTAGTGGAGTTGAAGTGTGATCATTTATAAAGATAACAAGTGTGATTTTTTGTGAGTTCTTTAGGGTTTTTTTTTTTTGGAGATTTAGTTAAGCAAATTAGTAGTATAGTTAAGCAAATTAGTAGTATAGTAACTATGTATACATTTTCATGGTTTACGGGTTATCTAATTAATGGCTCAAGGTCAAATCTTCCGATCCATCAATTCAAAGTTACTAGACGATATATTTTGATATTTCTTTCGTAGTTGTTAAGACTGGTCAGTGGTCTCAACGACTTATCATAGATTCATCTGACTTAAAATGGGCGGTTGAATAAACTAGCAGCCACAACTTATGTTCATTGGTTCGCCATAGTCATTATCGACTATCAAATCAAACGAACATATATACTAAAGTAAAAAAAAAACAGACGGACCCGTATTGCTGAATTACATGGCTAAGCAAACTAGCTAATAAGTCACGGCCGTGACCCGTGGTTTTAATAAGCATACATTTCGAAACAGTTTAACTAACTTACGATGACCAAGTCAGATTTGTTTTGGTTTATTTTCATCTTTCAACACAAACCTAAGTCAAAGCGACGACTGTTTTATATAATTTTGAATGGTATTTTGGCGTTTGTCTTTAACCCAAACAAGAACAGTGTGTGTTTCTGTGTGTGGGGGTGAGTGTTCTTGACGGCAAAACGTGTGTTTCATCTAACTAATTAGCCAAAAAAAAATATACAAATTCACAACATACTTTCATGTTTATTCTTTATAATACAGCTAATTAATGATTTCTTCCTTTTCTTTACACTCATGTCATTTCGTAGCTACTGTTAAATCGAAATTTTTGTTTTGTTTTTTTTTGTATGATTGTTAATGAATATACTTTTTTTTCCAAGTAAGATATCGTTTAAAGTTTTTCACACATATAAAAACAGCAAAAGTTTTATTTTATCTTTCATATCATTTTTTCATTGGCTAATACATTTAAACAGTACGGATATAAATAAAAAATTGTTCAAAATCTATATTGAAAATATAGAATAACACTAAAAAAAACTAAAACAACATCTAAGAATAATATGTAATTGGGGAAAATATAATGTAATTTACGAACTTTCAAAATTTGGTTATTTAAATCATAAATTTTCTATGTAGACATTCAAAACATTAACTTTTCATTGACTTAGTTTTGAAAACAGCAATTTTCGTAACTGAACCAAAATGAACTTCATATCCTCAAACTCGTTAACAAAACAGGTAACCATCGTTAATCCATATTTGTTAATGAGAAACGACATCATTTAAGCTAAAACGATATCCCCAAATCGCATTTCAAACGTCGTAATCTAAAAATCAAATTCCTAATTACTCATTTGGGGATTTCATAATCCAAAAGATTTCGTAATCCAAAAATCAAATGATAATTGTACCCTTTATCATTTTTATATCATCTCATTGCCGTGCACATTCAACCAGATTTACATCACTGCCTTGAATGAAAAGGAGGGTTCCCTGACACAAACACAGATTTCATAAGTCTTGAAAGCAAATTTGCTTTCGATGTTAAACGACCATTGACTCAATAAGCTCTTTAAGCGTTTAAGCCCATTGATATACCGATCATGGGCCAGTAACATGTGAAAAGACTTCTAAAACATGTAATAGACAAGAGTCAAATGCTAAACGTTACAATTACGCATGTACTTAGTTTTTGCCATAAACAATAGCTTAAGTTTCTAACACGTAAATCAGATTCTCTTCGGAGGTCACTTGAGAGATAAAAAAATCAGATTATAGAATTCCTCTTTTCACACATATAGCTCTCACTGACATGTTTGGTGTTGTATTGACCCACGAGGTCAAAAATCTCCCATCCGTAAAATTTTGAATCTTTTGCAATGAATTAAACCTTAAAACGACTAATTAAAAAAGTCCAAAAATGGAGGTTAAGCATTTAGAAAAACAAAAAGAATAATGTAATTTGATGAAAATTTTACGTAATTAACACTATAACAAAACATTTGTTCTCTAGTAGTATTATTTTCTTTTACCAAACGTAGAGGCATGGTCCTAGACTCATATAGCTTCAAATACAAAACAAATCGAATTTAAAATAAAACTTGGAAGTAGATAAACCATTATCATATAATTCTTAAAAAAATTAACGAATGAAACTAAGAAAAAAATCCAATATGTTTATCATAAAAAAAAACCAAAAATCCAATAGTAATCTCTCTGGAAAATTTAGAAAAACACTGGGAAGTTTGCATAAAAAATGGTCAAATGATCATACCTAACTAAAACAATAATTAAGAGTATGAGATAATCATTTGTAAGCAACTCACCAATCACCATTTAATATTGCTTCTTTCCCAAAAATTTATATTTCTTAATTGTGATTAAGTGTTTATCTTAACATTAGAACCACAAAAAGTTTCTATAAACTGGTACAATGATACAACACATTGTGTCACTCTACTAACATTGATGAAAACTAATAATCATTACGTGTTATCGAAATACAAGTGACAGATCATATTCTCGTAATTAGATGAGTATTAAACAAATGTTAATAATTTATATGTGGATTCTGGTTTTTTAGATAATAATATATAAACCTATCCAATATCCAAATATTTTGTATTTCCTTTAGTTTCCATTTTTTTTTGAATAAAACAGTAAATAAATTAAACAGAAAAAAACATAATTAGACCTTTCAAAATTCGTCATCAAGAATAAAGGAAAATAAAAAAGAACCTTTCAAGATTTCAAAGTCTCATCAGACTCATTCTTCAAGAAAAGACTCTCTCTCTATATTCTCTCTTTCTCTCTCTCTTTCTCTCTCTATGAAGAAGCTTTGCCGGAAAGGAACCGTTCATCCGTCGCCGACGGCGGCGGCGATAAAGAACGACGACCAGTTTCTCTCTCTCCTCCCCGTAGCGATCCTCTCTCTCGTGGCGGTTCTTTCGGTGGATGATCGTGAAGTTCTTGCTTACCTCATCTCAAACTCCGGCGACTCAAATCGTATCTCTCACCTCGGAAAAAACAAAACCCACAAAGCAAGAAAAGAAGATGATAATAACAATCTTCATCACTCTCCTCTCTTCGCCTGTGATTGTTTTAGCTGCTACACGAGTTACTGGGTCAGATGGGACTCGTCGCCGAGTCGACAACTCATTCACGAGATCATCGACGCTTACGAAGACAGTCTTGAGATGAAGAAGAAGAAAAAAGACCGGAGAAAGCGATCGGGAAAAGTTTCAAGACGAGTTAACTCGGTCGGAACGAATAGAATCAGTGAGTTGGGTTCGAGTTCGAACGAGTTTGGTGGTGGTGACTCGGTTAAAGATGGGAATTGCGGCGGTGAAGAGGCGGAGAAGGAGAAAGGCTCCTCTGTTGGAAAGGTTTTTAGTTTCATTGGTCAGAGATTTTTGGGTGTTTGGGGCTAATGAAAATTTCCAAACATTTTGGTAGGAACAAATGACGAAATTTCCAAAAAGAAAAATCAAAATAATAAAAAATTTGTAAAAATTATATTTTCTGGCTCAAAATTTTTTCCCAGAAATTTTATTTTGCTTTCTTTTGTTTTGTATTTTTTTTCTCAATTTCTTAATTTTACTCTTTTTGAAGGGTACTACTACCTGTAAAATAGATGTTTAATAACTACTACTACCCTGTAATTTTCTAGTTTTAAGTCACTGTGAATCTGAATAAAATAAATTTGTATCATATGATATAATTTGCACCCTTCAAAGTCTTCCCACTTCAACTTTCTCACTGGCTATGAGCCTATGATATCATGGAATCTTAAAAATTAAAAGAAGAAAAGAAAAAAAATATGGAATCTTAAAAATAAAATTAAAAAATAAATAACTTAATATTTTTTATTTTTTTAAAAGGGAATTTTATGTATTATGCCATTTTGGAAACTCAAAATTGTGTAAGTACCATTATCAATAATGCCTTTCAAAACGTGCCACAAAGAGGGAAATTTGGACGATTTTGCCCTCATCATTGTTGAGTGAGTGTTGAGTGAGTTTTGCAAAAATAGGAAGGAAGGAAAACAAAAAAAAAAGACTTTTACGGACATTAATCAATAGACAAGTTTTTTTTTTTCGACATTCTTTGATTTTTGTCCATACTCGATTATCGACAAATTCGTTTATGAAAAACTAGATATACTTTACTCTATACGTATGATGGACAACAAATTAGGAAACAAAAATGGACATATTACAGACATTGGATCTGGTTTACCGGATCTAGTCCATCTACGCACAAATGTGTAATCCAAAGTGTACACCTAGATAGATCGTTGATGGATATCTTCCATAAATGCATCACTTGTTTCATCTTCTACTCAATTATTTGTGGTTTCAAGAGAACTGTATGATAGACAAGTTTGGTCTGCCGATTCGGGTCCATCAGATCTGGTCCATCGGATCTCGTCTGTCGGAACAGGTTTGCCGCATCTGGTCCCCAGGAATTTGTCCGCCGGATTGTGGTCTACCGGAACTGACTGTGGTCTGCCGGAGCTGACTGTGGTCTGCCGGAACTCGTCTGCTGGAGTTATGGTCTATCAGAACTGGTCCGTCGAATATGGTCTACCGAAACTTGTCTACGGAGCTGGTTATAGTTCACCGGAATTGGCTATGGTCCGCCGGATCTGGTCCGTCGGAGTTCGTCCGTCGGATCTTGTCCGTCGGTACTGTGTGTTGTTGGAATAAGAAAAAAAAGATGAAGATGAAGATGAAGAAGAAGAGAGAGATAATAGGGTAAATTGGTCTTTTTGCAAAGTCCTTGTGGCAGGCAGGAGAAGAGATTTCTTTAAGTGGCATTCTTCAGAAGTTTTGTTACTGTTCAGGGCATAGCCCACAATTTTCTCTTTTTAAAAAGACATCATTGTTTGCTCAACTTTTGGACCAAACCCGTAGTAGTAGTAGTAGTTATAATAATAAAACATCATTGTTTGCTAAATTTTGGAAAAGCATACTTAACTTCACTACTAGTATGGTCCGATATTTTTTTTATGTAATGACAAAAAGATAAATGAGAATTGTTCTTTCCAAAAATTTCTGAATTGTTTAATCAGATGAAAATATATTACTAGCTAGAGCATAGCTAAATTATGTTAATCGAATGACATCAAAATACTACATGACAAACCTATCAATGTACAACAGTAAAATACTATAAAGTAATAATAGTACCTATATAGCGAAGGTTTTGTTAGTATCCATCGTCAAAATACTAAAAACCAAATTAGAAAATAAATAAATAAGTGATAACCCTTACCTACCAAAAACTTTAACTAATATATAAAACCATATGACTTATTATGAGTTAGGCCACATATAATATAAAGTAAAAAACCATATGAATTATACGATGAGTTAGGCTATTATATATATAATCACGTACATTGATAATAGTTTTATTATTATGCATGTCCAAAAATATCTGGTGTGCCGGCCACCACCACCAACAAGCACTTTTTATGCTTCCCATGAACATGTATTGGTACAATACTACAATTACGATAGATGCATCAGCTGACTCTTTGGAAATTGGAATTTTTAATATCCCTATTGTCATGAACATATATGGAGTACTTGATATTTCTTTTGTTCGGAAGTACAAAAGCATAATTTTATAATTAGGTTAATACGTCAATAGATCACATATATTATGAAATAGAGTGATTCGCCACTCCGATCTAAAAACATATAGATAGCTTGATTTTTAAGCTAAACACAATAACTTTGGTATATGAAATGAATATTTTATATAAATATTGAATTCAAATGGAATCTGGTTTATGCTATATAGGCTATAACCAAATAAGGTTAGGTAGTATATGAACATTATTCTCATTTGTGTAAAACAATCAAATATAATACTCCTTATATTTATACAACTATATCAATGAGAAGAGTATGTTTTTTTCTTCTTCTTTTTGAATGGTTAAGCTTACAATTACTTATCATTCACTTCTTAAATCGCATTTTAAATGTTTTAATGGACGCAGTTCAGTTAGATTGTTTATTCGTTGCATAGAGATCCGGTCGAATGAATTGGTACTTTAATCGTGGAAACAAATGAGCATATTCCAACATTGGGTTTCACGATTAAAATACATAAAGAAGAGACAATATGGCTCTTGTCTCAGTGTAACACTTTATCTTTAGCTCCTCAAAATAAAAAAGATGGTTAATATGAGTGAAAAAATGCTTTAGAACTGTGGACCTGAAAACACACATTTTACTATCTTCTATGCTCCATAAAAGATGTTTGTCACGGCAGGCATGAACGTTTTTTATACAAAAGTCAATACCTGTCTTTGAACTCCATTGTAAGTTGTAACATTTACATTTTGTCTTGTGAGCTTTGTTATTTCTCACCAACGAACCACTAAAAATTGCGAAAAGTTTCAAAGGGAAGCTTTTTTCTAAATGACCCTTTAACTAAACAGAGAGATCTAATTGAAAAGAACTAGCCTGTATTTTTTTTGCTTAACACTTAATTAAGCAAAACTTTAAAACTCTTCACATCAAGTGATGATTACCATATAACACTCCATAAACGGCTACCTGCATGCATATGTACTGTCTGTGGCCAAACGCAAAACGTGCAAGAAGTGTAATAGACATTTACATATGTTGAATGATCATATCATATCGAGATAACTAGAGTCCAAGATTTCAAGATTTGTATGATATGATTTCAAGATTTGTACCGAGTCCAAGATACCAACAATTCTCTCCAAGTAACATATATATGGAAATAATGGATCCCCTGCTTCACTTATTCGAACATGACCAAACCACTCAACTTTCCCCCGAATATCACAACTATTCTGCCTTTCAAGTGAAATCTCCGCACACCAAATCAGCTTTTTATAGCCGCTGAACGTGTCATCGACAGATTCATAAGTCATCTTTTCGTCCCATGAAACAGCTAGCTTTCCGCCATAGTTAGCCAATCTAACACGGCAACTACTAGGGAGCTTAGGTAGTCCTAGCAAACCTGCAAATCTATCCACATACCTAACTTAGTGTCAAACCATACGACCGTTCCTCGAGCGGTAGAGTAGGCAACATTCTCTATCTTGCAATACGAACCAACAGCTACAATATCCGAAAAGTGAGCAAAAGGAGAATCTGGAACGGGACTCTAGCCAAAACATACCCACTTGAGGAGTGGTCATCATTGGTTAGGGTTTTATTAGGTTTCCGACAGAGTGTGAACCAGCTTTGGCTCTCTCGACGTGTCAGTCGTAAACAAAAATAAAGACAAGTCTCGGTGTTTCCCAAGAGTGACCTGACCTTGTAAAGCTCTGGTGAAGCCATGAGAGATCTCTTGGAGACGAGTGAGAGAGTCAGATGGTATAATCTTGGGACGCGTGCGACGATGTTCATTACCAACTTATCCGGAAGTGACGGCGATCTCTCCTTCTTCGTCTTCTTATTCTTTGTAACCGTTGCCGTTGTCTTCCTTTTTCGTTATCATTGCGGCGTCGGCCACGGTTACGGAGAGATATAACTTAGGTATCTGGCAACCCGAACTAGGGTTCCAGCGTTTTTAAAGGAAGAAGGCAACACCGTTAAAATATTTGTTGCTGCTTTATTATATATGGGCCGTTGCGAATTTGCAAGACTTGTGAGATTGATTTGTTAATAGTATTGGAATTAAACTTGTCTTTTTAATTGTCCAAAAAAGTCTTCGCTGGGAGTTTGGTTTTTAGGTTCGGTTCTACTTGGTTCTTTTGGTAATATAGGTGAAATAACGAAGGAGTTGAAAAAAAATAAGTTGAATAGCAATTAACTAGTATGCGAAATAAGAGATGAATGAGTAGAAAAAAAATTTCTGCATAATCAGTTAATTTTTTCAGTTCGTTAAGTTGAACGAGTTGAATATTTTTTCCAATCTTTTCAATTCAAATGGTAAAAGTTAGTTGAATAATATTTTTCAACATTTTCAACCTCCTAAATTGTGCAACTATTTGCATCCTCCTAAATTGGTTAAATGCTATAATTAGTATTTATTTTTCAGATTTTTTTTTATTTGGTTTGATTATGATTCTTGACCCAAAATATTATGGTGAAGCTAGAAATTATTAAATTTAATAAAATTTGGGTTAATTGTGACAAATATAAAAATCAGATATTTTAGTTTTTTCAAGAATTTTGTTTAGTACGGTCTAAAAATAGCTAATATTTCTAATTTTGAATGATTGGGATATACATATCAAATCTAAATATAATTAATATTTTGAAAATAAATATTTAATTATCATAAACCTAAGAGTGTTGACAAAAGTGGCTAACCATGATTCCTTAAATTTTCACTTGGTAAACAATATAATAAATTAATAATATAAATGTTAGTGTAAAGTTGTTTTGTATGTTGCAAATATACATGTTCATCGTAAAATCGTACATGCAAAACTGTCTATCGTCGATACTGGATACGAGTTGTTATATATAATTAAATGAAGAAAGATGCACAGTAGAATTATTGTTTATTAGAATTATCTACTAAATATCATCATAATATGATTATATTAAATATTTTAGAGACAAAAATGAGAACTAAACCTAATAAATAAAATAAAGGATTTGGTAAGATTAGTTAAAACTTATGTGCTTGGTACTAGGAATATTTAGACTATCTTCTCCTTTAGTTAAGAAAACTCCATTTGGTAGGTATCTATTGTTATCATGATCATCACTTCACAATTACGTAATCAACGCTGAATCAATTATAAAATGAGTTTAGGAGTATAGGTCGCTGCAGTAGTGTAGTGAGCTCTCATATATATATCGTCGAGAAATTTACTTTTTAGTGTCTATATACTTTTACTTCCTTGCCTTATACTAATAGATTCAGGTATTAGTTATTTCTTTCACCAACACAAAAGAACAAAAAGTTGTACATACCCAAAAAAAAATAAACAAAGACAATAACACCTCATAATTCATAAAAAACTAGACATTATCCATGAACCATGAACTGTTTAATAAAGAGTAGTCGAATGACTCTTTCAAGCTTGGAATCCATTGGTTTGAGCGCAGATCAATGATATGCCGAACAATAAATCTTGTACGCTTATCCAATTGAGAATGATCTGAGAGCCTCTTTAAATGTCTGAAATACACATCGTTTATTCTTTTGATCTCGAACCATCATCAAGCTTGTTGCCGATAGTCTTGAGAAAGAGACAGAGCTTCAAGATCATCATCTGGTGGACACATTTTCTTATCAGCCCCCAAAAGTTCCTGTATAGTATAATAAAAGTAAGTTAAAAAGTGTTCATATATACCTTTGCAGCAATAGTAAAAGGTGTTACTTAACCTGAACAATATGGTGAACAATCTTTTCTGGAATCATCTGCTTTAAAAACAGCTCACCAACAAAACGAAGATTTCCTAGATTTCGGAGTTTCAATAACCTTTCCTTATCTATCCGTTCTTCCTTCTGATCAGGAGCATTCATCTTTCTAATCTCCTCGCTCAATTCATAGGTTCCCTCAAACACCTTTTGCATTGTATTCAGCAAAACCTTCTTGAATGTGATCTCACCACTAACCATAGTCTTAGGTGGAAGCTTAGGCAGCTTGTTATGTATATCATAGCATAATTGAGCGTACATAGGGCAAGAGGTCGGTTCAAGGACGGCTTTCTCAACTATAAGCGTTGTCACACGCTAAAGAAAATTAAAGAACACAAAATCATACACAAAGAAACTACTGTATGTATGCTGCTTAGGTTCGTCGAATATATACTAAAGTCAAAAGGGCATGTACCTTTAAGATATCAGGTGTAACGCAAGAGCGGATCAGATGGCTAGTGAGACGATTATATTTCTCTTCGGCTAACCTGCTCATTATCCTGACCAAGCAAAATATTTAAAAACATATTACAAGCTAAATCTAAACATTTGAGGCTTGGAAAATAAAATATATATAATGGCCAATTTGAGAACTCAAAAGATAATAAAAAAAATAAAAGTAGAGGATGGAGGAACTAGTTAACGTTACCAGCTTTTTTCTTCCAAAGCAAATGCGTTATATGTTATCCAATCTTGCAACAATACTGTAGATCGGAAACAAACGAACGTACCATCATCTTCAATATGTTTTTCTGTCATCTATAAGATCTTGATACGTTTTGATTCAAAGAGTAGAAGAGGCTGAAATTATTATCTCTATATGTGGAAACGTGTCCAATATTGATAATGGGTGAATGTTCCCCATGCGTCAATGTTCATAAATAGTTCGACCTAGAAAACTGAATCGTCGGCTAGTTTTGCCTTCATTTAAGACTCTTTTCTAAAGGGTAACTCACAAGTCTCACATCCTCCACTTTGGTTGAAATGCTCATCAATTCAAGAACACCATTCTTGATCGCATCAAGGTATTTGTCTCCTTCAATCATTTAATCATCTTCTTCTATTTAGTCTTTCGACTCATGTTCATGTAATCATATTTTCATGTTGTTGATAATATCCACCAAAGCTCTTAAAATCTTTAGAATAATGTTTTATGGCTTGGTATATTCATATTTAGACTTATTCATTAAAATGCATGTTTGGTGACGACTACAATTTGGAATTTTGATACTTGCTAATTTTGAAAAACCAAACTTTATCATTAGTAAGATGGAAGTTTCCAACATATTTAAAATTTAAAATTCCGTGTAATCCCAATTGAACGAAAACGACTGCTCCACCTTATTAACTACATTGTGAAAATAAGTTATTCTTCAATGAATCGTGTGGTTAATTGTAACAAGTAAAATCTAATGTAGTTTGCGTTTGTGAAAAAGAACAGCACCAAAAAGTCTATTTCTCGACACTTTAGTATTTTGTAGCTCACTTCCCATAAAATGATAGAAACCAATGATTAATAAGTATCATTATATATCATACAAATTAATTAGCCTAAATACGTGTATATCAAATCATAACATCACATAGATGCAATATACAATCAAATAACTAGTGAAAGGAAAAATAAGAATCGTAAACTCTGGAATGAGTTCAGGTTATAGATACTTAAAAAAACAACTTTGATCTACTAAGCATTTACAGGAACAGACGAGGAAGTAAATGGTGAGCTAATGGTCGAGACGCAGCCTTTAAGGCGATCTAGAATTGCGTTCTTTGTCTTCGTGAGGCTTGCGTGTGACGTCAAAGGCAGTCCTTCTTTGACACACTCGTCGTACTTCTCTAGCACCGCCACTATGTTTGAGAAGTCTGGCCGCTTCGACGGGTTCTCTGACCAACACCTCTTGATTAGGTGAGCTAGCGCGGGTTGACAGCTCGCCGGTAATGGCGGTCTCTCGTTCTAACCATTTGAAAAAGACCCAAAATTTTAATAGCTTGTATGCCAAGAAACCAAACACAACAATCTTTTATGTTAATCACAAACTGACCTTTTCAGCAACTGCGAATGCGGCTTGCACGGGAGTCATGCCTTGGAACGGAAGCAATGCAGTGGTGAGTTCCCATAGAACGATACCAAAGCTGTAAACATCGACTTTTCTAGTGTAAGGCTTTTCTTTGATCATCTCCGGAGCCATCCATCGATATGTTCCCATATTACCTTTGGCCTCTCTGCATTGCGTCTCAAGGCAAGATGTCCCAAAGTCTGCAACTTTAACTCTCATCTCGTCATTCAAAAGCAAATTGTTGGACTTTAGGTCTCTGTGGATAACACCCTGTGAGTGAAGATACTCCATTCCTCTTGAGATGTCTAGGGCCAGTCTGAGTACGGTCTCGATCGAGAGCGAGTAAGGCTCTTTCTTGTTTAGGTACATTCGGAGGTTTCCTTGTGACATGTACTCTGTTATTATGCAATATACGGGTGGTTTCTTGCACGCTGCAATGAACTATATACCAAAATAAGAATATAATTAGTAGTCAAAACCAAATAGAGACAATATATGTTATAAAGACAAGATCTTTCCTCTGTTTTTTTTTTGTTCTCCCTCCAAGGTTGTAAATCTTTTTTATAAAAGGTTTACACTTTATAAATAAGATGTAGGATTCAAACCTGAACGATGTTAGGATGAAAGAGACGAGAAAGCAGAGCAACCTCAGACTTAAATTGTTGTTCGAGCTTAGCCCTTGTCTCTTCTTTGTGTGTTGGGATCCTCACCATCTTCACAGCGACGGCTCTTTGTTTGTAGATCCCTCTGTAAATTCGAGAGTGTGCTCCGGAAGCAAATTTGTTTCCTATAAAGAGCTGTGAAAGATCTGCGGTCCATTCTTCTCTTTCGCCTTTAGATGCTTCCCATGTCTCCACGTTCTCTGACTCCAGGATCATAGACCAAGATTCCATACTGTCGAATCTCTTCTTTTCCATCGTCTCTGCTTCTGCATACCGAGTGCCTTTAGAGGAAGACGGGTGAGAGGGTAAAGGAGGGAGGGAAGGCTCTGGAGGTAATTTGGATCTTAGAGACCACCAACGTAGACGAAACGGATTGAAGCATGAACTAGACATGGTAAAATCAAGTAGATGTTTTTTTGCTTGGATCACAAGGTAGGTTTTTGAAAAACAGAGGATCTAGGGTTAAAAGATGTAGTTAAACTAGGTATTTCCTTCTGAAAGTATGAATAGATTTCAGGAAGTGCATGAACTGATTCAAAAACATGGGTTCGATAGGATCTCCCGAGAATATAGCCGCCGTTTCATTAATTTTCTCGGGGAAACAAAAACAAGAATCAGGGAAATGAAGAAGAAGATACAAAACCCAACAGAGAAGTTTTGAAACAGAGAAGAAGAGACTTAATGTCAAAAGGATGAGACTTTTACAGGAAGGAAGCAGAAACAAAGAAGAAAACAAATGGGTTTGATCATCGTCTGAATTTGTTTTTGTTTCCCCCTAGTAGATAGAACAAACAATGATCGATGAAACTTTCCGGCAAAACTTTTCCGGGGACACGAGAAGAAAAGAAAAGCACCTCAGAAAAGTTTTGGATACAAGTTGAGTTTTTTGGAAGTTGAAGAAAGAAACCAAGTGAATAAGGAACGGATCCAAAGTTAAGAGATTTTCAAAGGTTTCTCGTGATTGCTTCGTTCAAAAGTTAGCCTTTTAAGAGAGAAAGAGTTATAAATGTTTATATATATATAATTTTTTTTTTTCTTTCTCTCTTGAGAACAAATCAAATCGTGTTCGGTTCGTGTTTATTAGTTCAGGTGTATATATTATATTGTCTCGTTATCGTAGTCAAATAGTAACGAGTCGCCAAGTTTACCGACTTAAGTTGCTTCTTCTTATTGGATCGATATATGCTAAAATAAAGCTAGATTTTATTTGGATATAGCTTTGGATTAAATCACGGTTATTTACACAAAATATATCTCAAGGATCCATTCTTATCCTAAAATTGTGAAATATAAAAAATTGTTTAAAATATAGATGAACATTGCATTCGAAATAGAATTAGCATTTGGGGCATATAATAATAATAACTTTACCTTTTTGATTGGATTTGGGGCATATCGGTTTGTAATATAAATTGAAATGTTTTTAGCTATTTAGGAGTTTACAATAAGTGAATAAAGGTTTGTGATCCATTCATTCACATCATGCATGTATCACTTTTCTTTGTCGGCTCCAATCCATTGCATGGATCTAACACTAACTACTACACCTAGTGATTATAACAAAAAAGTTAGGGAAGATATATGATATACAAATACAATGTTTACACAAAAAATGAATAAACAGTTCGTAGTTTCATTCAAATGATTCATCACAATAAGCAAACGAACTATACCTATATCAAAATATAAAACGACAGAACCATATATATAAAAGGTATGTAACATTTATATTTCCTTAAACCATATATGATGAAAGAAATATCGCAAACTAAATTAATTTATAATTTGTTTGATATAAAAAGTATCTCCTGAGAAAACATTGGCAATGTATATAATGATTTGTCAATATGTCACATATATGTGAATGGAATCAATTGTGTAAAAAAATATATATTAATTTTCGAAACAATCAATTCGATTTGCTTTTTCGTACTAAAAATTATTAATCTTACAGATCATGCTAACATGTTTTACCAAGTGGATCTGTACACGTGGCGATGTCTTAGCGGTACCACGTGGAAGCTGACTAGCTGTAGAAGCTATTGGGTATTATTATATTATCTAGGCCTTCGAAAATTCTTAAAGTGGGCTTTAAATATTTAAGCCCATTATCTTACATCTTCGGGTTTCCCTTTCACCAAAACGTACACTCAAATCGAACGGCCCAGAATTGATCTCACGAGTTACTAATAATAATAGACTGAGAGACAGAACAAGTTGATCCCTTTTAGCTAGGGTTTCTGGTTTTTTTCAAAACCCCCTCTCAGGCTCATCTTCTTCTTCTAGCACCTTCTTCTTCTTCCCTTAAAGTATTCAACTTTATCTGAATTTGAGCATTTCCTCTTTATTTCTCCGACGTTTCTCCGCCCATTTCGATCTTTAACCATCTGGGTATCTCCGTCTCTCTGTCTATTTATCGAATTCTGGGCTTAATTTTGAAAATTTTGAAGCTTTTTGGGGGAAGAGGTTGAAAAATGGGGAAATCTGGAGGAAGGAAGAAGAAGAGTGGTGGTGGTGGCGGCGGTGGTGTTGCGAATTCGAATTCGAATCAGGTCAATTCATCTGAAGCTTCTTCAGGATTATCCAAACCGTCAACGACTGTTAACGGTGGTGTTGATTTCGATGCTTCGATATTCTTGAAACGTGCACATGAGCTTAAGGAAGAAGGTAATAAAAAGTTTCAAGCAAGGGATTACGTTGGTGCTCTTGAGCAATACGAGAATGGGATTAAGCTTATTCCTAAGAATCACCCAGATAGAGCTGTGTTTCATAGCAATAGAGCTGCTTGTTTGATGCAGATGAAGCCTATTGATTATGAATCTGTGATTTCTGAATGTTCTATGGCTCTTAAAGCTCAGCCTGGTTTTACTCGAGCTTTGCTTCGAAGAGCTAGAGCTTTAGAAGCTGTTGGCAAGTTTGATTTAGCTGTTCAGGATGTGAATGTTTTGTTGAGTTCTGATCCTAATCATAAGGATGCAGGGGAGATTTCGAAGCGGTTGAAGACTGCTTTGGGTCCTCATCAAGATTTGCAGAGCCGTCCTTCACCTGCAGCTCTTGGTGCTTCGGCTGCGTTAGGTGGTCCAATTGCTGGACTTGGTCCTTGTTTACCTTCTCGTAACGTTCACAAAAAGGGTGTTACTTCGCCTGTTGGGTCTGCTTCATTGCCTAATGCTAGTAATGGTAAGGTAGAGAGGTCACAGGTGGTCAGTCCGGTGACTGAAAATGGCGGTTCGGTGAGTAAGGGGCCGGCGTCGAGAGTTGTGTTGAAGCCTGTAAGTCATTCGCCGAAAGGGTCAAAGGTGGAGGAGTTGGGTTCTTCATCTGTGGTGGCTGTTGGGAAGGTTCAAGAGAAGAGGATTCGGTGGAGGCCGTTGAAGTTTGTTTATGATCATGACATAAGGCTGGGTCAGATGCCTGTGAACTGTAGGTTTAAGGAATTGAGAGAGATTGTGAGCAGTCGTTTCCCGTCTTCAAAGGCGGTTTTGATTAAGTACAAGGACAATGATGGAGATTTGGTGACAATTACTTCTACCGCAGAGCTGAAATTGGCGGAATCTGCTGCTGATAGTCTTTTGACGAAAGAGCCTGATACTGATAAATCTGATTCGGTTGGGATGTTGAGATTGCATGTTGTTGATGTGAGTCCTGAGCAAGAGCCGATGTTGGTTGAGGAAGATGAGGAAGAAGTGGAAGAGAATCCTGTTGTTGAGGAAGTCATATCATCTCCTACCGAATCAGTATCGGAAACCGAGATCAACAGTGAGAAGGCGGATAAGGAAGTTGAGAAGGAGAAAGCAGTTTCTTCTGAAGATCCTGAGACCAAAGAATTGGAGATGGACGACTGGTTGTTTGATTTTGCTCATCTCTTCCGCACTCATGTTGGTATTGACCCTGATGCTCATATTGACTTGCATGAGTTGGGAATGGAACTTTGCTCAGAGGCGCTTGAAGAAACAGTGACAAGCGAAAAAGCCCAACCACTATTCGATAAAGCTTCTGCGAAATTCCAGGAAGTTGCTGCGTTAGCTTTCTTCAACTGGGGAAATGTTCACATGTGTGCTGCTAGAAAGAGGATTCCTTTAGATGAATCTGCAGGGAAAGAAGTGGTTGCAGCACAGCTTCAAACCGCTTACGAGTGGGTGAAAGAGAGATACACATTGGCAAAGGAGAAATATGAACAGGCCCTCTCAATCAAACCAGACTTTTACGAGGGTTTGCTTGCATTAGGACAGCAGCAGTTTGAAATGGCAAAACTACACTGGTCTTACTTGCTAGCTCAGAAAATTGATATCTCAGGTTGGGATCCGGCAGAAACCCTAAACCTCTTTGACAGCGCAGAGGCGAAGATGAAAGATGCTACAGAGATGTGGGAGAAGCTTGAAGAACAGAGGATGGATGATCTTAAAAACCCGAATTCGAACAAGAAAGAGGAAATCTCAAAGAGGAGAAAGAAGCAAGGAGGAGATGGGAACGAAGAGGTTTCAGAGACAATCACAGCTGAGGAAGCAGCAGAGCAAGCGACTGCAATGAGATCACAGATCCATCTGTTTTGGGGAAACATGCTGTTCGAAAGATCGCAAGTTGAATGCAAAATCGGGATGGATGGTTGGAATAAGAATCTTGATGCAGCTGTTGAAAGATTCAAACTTGCAGGTGCTTCTGAAGCTGACATAGCAACGGTTGTCAAGAACCATTGTTCTAATGAAGCTGCTGCAGCCACTGAAGAAGATGAGAAAAAGGTACCTGCACCTTGAAACCCTGAATTATTTAACAAGAGATCTAAACTCAAGAGCTATGAAACCGAAACCGATTCTCGCATAGTGGATGGTTGTGTGACTAGAAAATGAACCCTGGAGATGTAGACTGCTGGATCTTGCTTTGATTTGTTGATTCAGAGATGGTTTTTTCAAGTTTATCTTCTTCACCTCAAAGGTGATAAATTTTCCAGGGCATTTGTTAGATAAATTTGTAAACTCTGTTTAAGTTTCAACCTTTTAATCTTTGTGTCTTTTTTGCTTTGGTGATTGATTATTATGAACTTGCTTCTTCTTAATCTAATGATAAAAGCTTTTTAAGCTTGATTAGTGTTAAAAGTTCTGAAACAGAGTGTGCTTCACTTGATTTGATGAGACACACATTAAAACTCTTAGAATCAGATTATTATTATTATTATTATTATTATCTTCCATAAACATAAACACCCAACACTTTAAACACACCAATTGACCAACAATTAATCACCAGATTCGTAGATATATAAACACTAACACCAGCTTGAGCTTATTTGACATAACATAACACAAACTCATCCTTCTTTCTCTGCTTTCACTTAAACCTGAAACCCGTTTTAGAAAGTCTCTACGGCTGCTGTTGGATTCAGTTCTGTAACTGCAGAAGCATTCTTCATTGCCTCGAACCGTGGCTCCTTGGGCTGAAACTTGACCCCTGCATAGAGCTTCATGTAGTCATCAAAGACGAAACTCGGGTAGTCTGAATCTTTCTCGACGAGTGATGTAGCTGGAGCGATCTCGGCATCACTTCCCGGATTGTAGAACGATGCAATCGACATTCTGTTTCCTTCCTTCTGAGTCACCACACGGTGCATCACACTCTTGTACTTGCCGTTGGTTATCACCTACACTCAATCAAGATTATACATTGTCAGGTTAAACAAAATATCCAATCGGTTTAGCTGTACCAAATAAGAGGCTGCTCGATCTTCCGGTTTAACTCGACTAAACCAAAACCCAAATTTTCAATACCAAAACCTTGTTTTTTTTTGTTCTTAGCAAAAAAATATATTGCAAAATGTAAATGTGAACATGACATACCTCAAGTTGGTCACCAAGATTGATGAC